AAGAATATATAATAATGTTTGCCCGAATTGATTAACTTAAAAATCATTTGAACGTTCTGACGGCGTGTATTTAGCACATTGTTAAATTTTTAAAAGCCCAGTAAAGGGAGAAAACTGCTTTAAAACTGATCTTATTTACTAACGGGAATAATACCAGCAAGATATCTGACGATACACTTATATAGGTCGATAACCTACTGTCTTTCATCAACTTTAAAGATAACAAGATGTATATTTAAAGTCAGTCAAAAATATTGAGCTTAATCAGACTACACAAATGTGCATGCTAGCCAAAAGAACTTTTTATTCGGTTAAAAGGTTAGGCATGCATACAGACTAACATAATAATTACCAATATCAGTCAAAAGTTTTTGGTTCACAGTGAAATGTTTTGATGTCCATCTTCTTGCATTTGCAGTGGTATGGTCTAAGGATCCCATATCACCTTCATTTTGGAGTATTAATATTTTTAATTTTGTAAATAAATATTTGCTTTTTGAAGAAACGTTTTTGTACTTAAAAATATGTATTGAATACCATGTGTATATCAATAATAAACATAAACAAATACAAGAGGGCCATGATGGCCCTGAGTCGCTCACCAGAAACAACTGCTTTTCAGTGTTGGAATGTCAATATATTCTCATATTAAACTTGAGCATAGAATATGTTTAAACAATTATTTGAAGAAAAGCTTTATTATAAACGGGGCTAATCAAATTAATATGAGCAAACTTGATAAAAGACTACCTAAGAATGCTACAAAGTTTGGTGATCATCTATCAATTATTTCAGTAGGAAATGATGTTCGCAGGTTTTTTCTATTTTTAGCTTTAGTGGCCCCTAAAAGGGGCCAATCAAATTAATATAAGCAAACTTGATAAAAGAGTACCCAAGAATGCTACAAACAAAGTTTGGTGATCATCCATCTTTTGGTTCTGAAGTAGGAGATGTTTAAAAGTTTTTCTATTTTTAGCCCTAGAGACCCCTAAAAGGGGCCAATAAAATTAATGTTTTTCTATTTTTAGCCCGAAAACCCCTAAAAGGGGCCAATTAAAATAATATTTGCAAACTTGATAAAAGACTACCCAACAATGCTACAGACAAAGTTTGGTGATCATCCATCAATTAGTTCTCTAGAAATAGACATTTAACGGTATTTCTATTTTTAGCTTTTAATCAATTAGCGGCCCCTAAAAGGGGCCAATCAAAATAATGTTAGCAAACTTGATAAAAGACTACCTAAGAATGCTACAGATAAAGTTTGGTGATCATCCATCAATTAGTTCTGTAGAAGAAGATGTTTAAAGGTTTTTCTATTTTAGCTTTAGCGGCCCCTAAAAGGGGCCAATCAAATTCATATGAGCAAACTTGATAACAGACTACCCAAGAATGCTACAGACAAAGTTTGGTGATCATCCATCCATTAGTTCTGTAGAAGAAGATGTTTTAATGTTTTTCTATTTTTAGCCATATAGACCCCTAAAAGGGGCCAATCAAATTAATATGAGCAAACTTGATAAAAGACTACCAAAGAATGCTACAGACAAAGTTTGGTGATCATCCATCAATTAGTTCTGTAGAAGAAGAAGTTTAAAGGTTTTTCTATTTTTAGCTCTGCTGACCCATAAAAGGGGCCAATTGGAATGACATGAACAAATTCAAGTGTGACTGTCACAAGGATGCTACAGACCAAATTTGAAGTAAATCTGCCCAGTAGTTTCAGAGAAGAAGACGATTGTTGACGCATGACGACGGACGACGGACGCCGGAGCATCCCCCTTTGATACTAATAGCTCACCCTGAGCCTTCGGCTCTGGTGAGCTAATAAATAAGCATACATACCATAAAGTATACAGTTTATGATACATATCATAAACCGTAATCATATTTGTACAACAAAACATGACAAAATCCAATATATATTTTTTCCTTAACCGAGAATTATGCGATTTAGGCTGCAGCCGTGAACTTACTGGTACTAGACAAAGATGGTTGTCACATAAGTTGTAGATCCTTGTTGGAAGAGTGTCGGAATCCTTTACTGTCTTGATCTCTCGTTATGTATAAAATTTTAATCATCTTAATTTGTACGCAAATATCTCTTAATTTTGAGTAAAACACGAACGTTTTCAAACTTTTTGAAAATCTAGGAGAATGACATATCGTCTTAGTTCAGGCTCATTGATGCTTTGCAGATCCGCTTCATATTGTTCCGATGTAGAAACAGTCAAACAATTTATTGTCTTTATGACATGATATATCAACACTGATGGGTCCATAAATGTTTACAAACATGGCATGATATCACAACCATCACGTGTCCTTACATATTTCTATACAAGTCGTAACTTATCAACTATTACGTGTCTTAGAATTTTGGCATACAAGGCATATCAACTTTTGAATTAACGTTTCCTGATATGTTTATATAAATGGTATGATATTATCAACTATGACGTGGCCTAAAATGGTGTATAAATGACACGATATATCAAATATGATGCCAACTAATATGTAAGAACAACATAAATTGCATTTGATTAAGTATTGAGAAATTTATAAAAAAATTAAAAGAAGTCTCATAGCAGTTCTGTTAACACTGTCTTTTACAAAATTTAATCAAAAGGCAGGAAAATGTGATTGAGTGTTTTTATATTATTTCAGCCATTTGAGTGATAGCTGCAAATATTATTTGTATCACGAGTATATTTTTGATGAAGTCTTGCCTTATTATACTCTGCTGACTGTTTGCAATAAATATTTTGATATTGAAATTCCTTAAAATATTTTTTTTAACTTAATATGGATTTAGCAGCTAGACAAATCCGTCTCATAAAGGTCTTTTTCCAATTCAAACCAACACACAGCTGCCGAATTAAAGCACTTCGGCCATTTAAAATAGTTAAACTGATTTATGTTTGATTATTATAAAGTTATTAATGCATGATGTTCAGTGTCAAAAGTTAAATTCATTCATTACATGATCTAAATGTAGCTGCAATCTCATTGGTCCAAACAGTAGTCAACAGAACGTTTTATAAAATCATATTCACTGGGTGTTGTATCATATTCACTGGCTGAATTGGATTTTCCCAGTCTAAAAATAGATTAAGGCCATACACCGTAGACTGTTAAGTAGGCGTGTTAATTAAAAAATAACTGTTGCGTTGTGTTCTTTATGGCATATTTGTCGATTAAATATCATTACTTTACTATTATACTTAAAGGCTACACCGAAATGATGAGTATAAACTTGAATTAATTATGTATGCGCAGCGTTCGAGTAGTCGTTGCACGCCTAACACGTGCGTCTTTTTCCCCGCGCTTCAACGAGGCAAAATGTGTACATGTATATATATATAAGGTCGTATTTTTGTGATTTATTTTAAATTCTTAGCCTATTCATATAATAAAACAATTATTGACTAGTAATCCGTTGAATGTGGTGTGATATTCACCGGCAGAAAGTCATATTGACCTCGCTGTCGCCTCGCGATCGGTCAATATGTCATCTGCCGGTGAATATCACATCATATTCAATGGCTCACTAGTCAATAATTGTATGTTATTACTAGGTTTATAATACAACTAATGCACGTTTTTCAGTGTCGAAAGTTAAAAAAATTGATAATAATGTAAATTATTGACTTATACAGGCGTGCAAAATAATTGGTGTGCAAAATTTATGTTTATTGATTAATTTCTGTGTATACATGTATACTAAACAATTGGAAAAAAACCTCATCTGAAGTTTGTTTGCAAAATCATGCAAACGATCAAACTTTGAAAACTAAATGCAATATTGTTGAAACCTCCTCAGATAACGATTAGAAGGGCGAAATTACAGTGCCGGACTCAGACACATGAAAAAATATTACAATTGATAAGAACCCAGGTCGTTATTGTGTAACTATAAATTTCTTTAAGTATTTCTGGGATAAAATAGGTCATTTTGTAGTTAAAGCAAGTAAATATGTTTTAATTATTAACTTTATTTCTAGGAATGTTAATTCGTAACAATCTTATTTGTACAAAACGAAATAAAGAAAATAAAAATCTTAAAAACTGAAAGCCTATTACTACGTATGTTGAATCTCATATATTAAATACGTTCAGAACTGTTAATTAAAGGGAGACACCGGCAAAATTTTCATTTCTTAGTTTTGATTTTTTAATTCATTTTTTCTGTATATGTCCTCAAATAAAAACAATAGACTGTCAAACGAACAAAACTTTTCTCCTTATAAAGAATAATATGGTGGTTTCCTAACTTGACCCACATGGGTCAGGTTAGAGCGTTCCTTAAGATTTCACAATAGCTGTCACAATTAACTTCAGAAGCGTTAAAAACATCTGAAATGAATGACTTACACTTATCCTAATCATACAATATCCACAGTATCTGTTATTGTAACTTCCAGGGTTTGTTAAAGTCACATGAATTGTTTTAAAACTACTCGGTGATTCTGTAAGCGTATAAATTTCGTTCAACATATATAAATACATTCACACTTCAAACCCAAAATATATAGAAATTATACAGAAATTCATGCTGGGACTTTAAATTATGTCATTTTAGCGTGATTTGAGTACATAAAATCATTTAAATATTTTGTAATTAATTTGCCTGAGTATCCCTTAAATAGATAATTTGCTTCCTAGGGATCAAACTGTTTGTGTGAAAGGTAAAGATGTAAGTGAGAAACAAGAGTTGTATATGATATAAGGACTACTCAGTCAAATATTCTAGTTATGTTAATCGATTTTGAAAAAAAGCATTTGTGTTCATTGTCTTGTCCTTTTAAACTTGTCTTTAAATGTGTCACAGTTTTTTCATATGATACTTCCCTATTTGTCAAAATATGAAAATCAACATCATCAAGGAAGAAAGGCAATCAATACACACTATCCCCTAACACAGTACCAGTTTAGACTTGGTATAAGTCATTTTAAGCAAGCAATGCTAACATTTAGGTATGCAAAACTAAGAGATACATACCAACGTTAACCCTGGTTTATATCGGTTAATGATTGTTTAAGAAAAACACGAAAAAACCCACATCAAGCATACAGCATCACGACGCCCTGCACATCGCGTAATTTTCTAAGTTCCTTGAATAATGTGTTTTGACCCGTTACTTCTGACCGGAATGGACTGCATAAAGATAAGGCTGTGTGTTTTCTCAAACTTCAATGGGTTAGTTTGATGCAAAATTGACATAATGAGATAATATGACAACAAACAGTATTATTATTACATAATCTTTTCACCTAAGGTGATAAACTAGGACAAAAATCTATTTTACAATCAATACTCAGTCAGTCCTTTCAGGATTATAAACAGGTCTTATTCTTGCTTTGCTGTGAAACAATCGCTGAAACAGCTTGAATAACAGCTTGAATATATCCCATGTTCTCATTTGTTCTTTTGTCATTGACAACACAATCGAAATATGCTAATTTAAACAACAATGTTATTTCTTTTTCAAGCTTTTATCGTCCGCATATACTCCATGAAAGTCATATGGAAATCGTCCAATTCCCTCAAATTCTACTCGAGCAATTTCAGTGAATGACTTTGCATCAAGAACCAGTAGAAAACATGAATTGTCGTCATCACCTTCTCCAACACGATTCACTGCTGCAACCACAACACCTGGAATAGAATAAAATAAAATATGTTTAGATACAAATATTTCCGACAATTACGACAAAAAATACATCAATACAATTTATTGTACAGGTAACTTATTTTCAGGAAAAAAATAAATTTAGATATACCTATACTTATATGCAAACAGAGTAGGTTACAATATAAAGTAACGTTTGGAAATATTGGATTACAAAATGTTAACAGAATTAAACTAAGTAAAATGAAGTTGATATAATGCCATAGAGAGTGCATAAAAGAACAATATCAACTTTAATGTAAGACGAAGTTTGTAATTCTTTGAATTTGAAGAAAGTAACGAACAGCATTATATAGTGTTAACTAAATTATTAGAATCAATTGGACAAAAACACTGTGAAAGAGAACTTCAAAAGATTCGTACACCGACAATAATAAAAATAACGCATGTATAGTTTGATTGATAAGAAAGTTTATTAAGAAAGTTTAATATCTACAAGTATTGTGTCGTCATGTTATCCTTAATTATCATACTTCGTAATATGAAAATAGTAGTGACGACCAGAGGCACCTGTGGTTTCAAAATGGTTAATCTAACCATTGCCTTATAAGAAAACATTCACAGAAACATTGTAACATCTGATTTTTTAAATCTCGCTGTGTCGAAAGTATATATAAAGCCACACTTTTCAAACTTGACAATAAAACACTTACGTGTTTTAATACTCTTACCTGTACATAAAAAACTTATAAGTCAAGAAGGTCAAATAAATGTTGTTTACAATCATTATAATGATTAAATATTCTTTTTTATTCGATATGTACACGTTCTGTATATATGAACATAATCAAGTAAGTACCGTCATCTTCAGAAGCACCACCAGGTTTAGCTACAAACACAGGTTCCGATGGATAACATCTGTCTTCTTCCCATTCTATATACTTCTTTGCGCTGGCATCAACTTTTGCAAGCTTTAATATGAAGAGACAAAATAAAAGATAATATTAAATCTTAAGGTAACGGTTAGGCGATTTGCCATCTTGATCAAGCAATCTAAGTCGGGGAATGCGTAAGAAGACTCATAATACATATAATTATTATATTCAAAATACATTCAACAGATTATGCTAAAAAGAGTATATAATAGTAAAATATATTCTACTTTTATCTTAATATCTATCGTAAAGTTGCCACAGTATTTAATAAATACCACCCTGTCAAATGATTATTGTCGGTTTTATCAAAAACACACCTCGTATATATTTTACTTATTAAATGATACCTACTGTGGTTAATGGATTTTTCTTATGTCGAAAAGCAACGCCATATATGTATCTGTATTTTTTGGTGTTGTACTTTCTGTAGTTTATTTGTGGAAATTCTAACCCTGAAACAGTTCATAAAACATTATCATTTTATGCATGTTTACTTTGAACGGATAAAACTGCAAGCGGTTAAAAAGAATTTCGTACATGCCATTTATTAAATTAAATCTCTCGGCCCGACGAAAATTTCCTTTTATACAGTGGGAAAAGACCGTATACAAGTATCATTTCCCTAATCGGTTAAGTTTATCATTCGAAATCCTGTCAGCAAACGATCTATACTGTACATTCTCATTACTGATTTGTAATTGTTCAAAACGATGAAAATGTATCAAAGTTCTTTGTTACTTTGGTGTTATTATTAGACAATATAACATAATCAAGATACATGTAGTTTGATACTAATTGTCTGATTGTGGCCGGTTTTGTGGATATTATAATGAACACTTTAAGTAAAGCAGGTTTGTCTGGCTCTGAACTGCTAGCGAAGGCTAAATACTCTTGATTTCAGCCAGGTAAGGACAACATGTATACAGAAACACAGGATACATTACCAATGTCAGCCAAAATTTCTGGTTGGAGATGAAATGTTTTTTCGTCAATCTTCTTGCATTTTGCAGTAGTATGCTCTAACGATACCATATCCCCTCCTTTTTCTTCCTGTATTAAAACGTTAGGAATCAGTTATTAGCTTTTTGAAACATTATTATATTTAAAAATATGCTACACTATTTGGATCAACTATTACACAGAAAAAAGCTTTCTCCACATGGAATTAAATTATGTCTCATTAATTTTTAATGTATTTAATACGACAGAATAAGATAAAACCCTGTATCAAAAATGTTATTATTCGAGCTTTATTTAGGTTAATCCGTGAAAGAACTTATGAGTTTTTTGTGATATGACGAAATATTGTTGTGATATAATTAGTATGATCCTTGTTGGAAGAAATCCAACATCCTTAACTTCATTATTAACCTGTATTTCTAAAACGTAATAAGCTATCACTGAGCTATGAGACATTAATCTGCAATTCTACGTATATTGTTCGAACTCGTGATAAAACAGAAATGTTTACAAACTTTTCCGAGATCCAGAGGAATGACATATCGTCTTGGTTCAGGTTCCTTAGTGTTCTTCAGATTTTCTTCATATTCCTTCGAAGTAAGATTTTTCATGTAGAAACGTTCTAATACTTTAGTGTCTTCGTGGCATGATATGTCAACTATGACGTGTCCTGAAATATTACATGCATCAACAGTTGTGCATTTCCTTAATTTAGAAGATATATAAACGGTGAGTGCTAGAAATCTAAAAGCAGCCCTTGACTTACCCTTTAACAACGCAATCATTCATTTACAGTTTTTTAGTGTTCGCTTTATTTAGATTATTATTATTATTATTATTTACCAAACTTATATAGCGCCCTTTTCATATACATGTTCAAAGGTGCTTTACAATGATATAAACTAATAACTAATTACAGCAATACAATTTAAATACTAAACCAGCATTCACATAATAAATCTACGACATAATAAGAACAAGAATATGAGACAATCAATTATAATGTGGTATTTACCGTTTTACAATGATATAAAAACTAATAACTAATTACAGCAATACAATTTAAAATACTAAAACAGCATTCACATAATAAATCTACGACATACTAAGAACAAGAATATGAAACAATCAATTAAAATGTGGTATTAACTTAGTCGTTTAGAATTAAAATAATTGAATATCGACAACATACGATTAAAATATTCTAGCGAAATTTCTAAAACACTAAATTAGAAATAATGTATTTTATAATCAACACCTTAATTATTTGTAACTGTCTTAAAAATATTAGCAGAATTAAAACAAATTGTAAAATTATGGTTGATATCACACAGTAGTCACACAGTTTTCTAAAATCACTGTCTCAGATTATTCACGATAAAACATAGGCTTGTTTGAAATAGTGTGTTTTAAGTGCACGTTTAAAAGAATACAATGAGCTCGAGTCTCTCACAACAGACGGCAGATCGTTCCACAGTTTCGGAGCTGCACATTCAAATCGTCGGTCGCCAAAGGTTACAGTTTTACTCGTTGGTACCACTAAAGTAAGTGCTTTGTTCTGAGATCGTAGATTCCTTCGTGGTTTGTAAACACATAACATTTCTTCCATATATTCCGGCGATTTTCCATTTAAAGCTTTGTAGGTATGTGTTAAAATTTTAAACTGGATTCTGTATTGCACCGGAAGCCAATGTAATTCTTTAAGTACAGGTGTAATATGATCGTACCGTGAAGTTCTGGAGATGATGCGGGCAGCTGTATTTTGAACAATCTGCAGTTTGTTTATTAATGTTTGAGGTACTCCATACAATAATGCATTGCAGTAATCTAGGCGCGAAATGACCAATGAAGTGACAAGTTGTTTAGATGCATCAATTGTGAGATATTTTCGAATTCTTCCTATTTGTCTAAGCTGAGCATAACATGATCTGCATACCGAATTTATGTGATCTTCCATGTTCATGTTTGAATCAAAGATGACACCTAAATTTCTAACATTGACCGATTTGTTTATTTTAGAGTCACCCACGGTTATCGATAGATCTTCAATGTGTTTGGAGTTATACGGAGATGAGAACATGATGACTTCTGTTTTATCAGTATTTAGTTTAAGCATGTTTGCATTCATCCATGATATTATGTCTCGGAGACACGCTTGAATGCGTTGTAATGTTTCTTCCTTAGAAATGTCATCTAATGGTTTGAAAGATAGATACAGCTGTGAGTCATCGGCGTAGAGATGGTATTGCAGTCCGTGATCTTTGCAAATGGCACCAAGTGGTTTAGTGTAAATAGTATAAAATTTTGGCCCTAAAACGGACCCCTGTGGAACACTAAAATTAAGTGTGACCGGCTTTGACAGCACACCGTTAATGTATACTGTCTGTTTTCTATCTTGAAGGTATGATGTTATCCACTCCAGTGGTTTTTCAGCAATTCCGAAAACATTTTCAAGTCTCTGTATTAAGGTTTTGTGGTCTATTGTGTCGAAAGCTGCTGATAGATCTAGCATAACTAAGATTGTCACATTGCCATGGTCAAGGGATTATAGTACATCATTTTGAACTTTGATAAGTGCAGTCTCTGTCGAATGGAACTTGCGATAGGCTGACTGATACTTTTCTTGAAGTTGATTTGTTGTCACATGTTCATCAATGCGAGAGCTTACTACTCTTTCAAGTGTTTTCGATACAAACGATAAATTTGAAACAGGTCGATAGTTTTTTAAAATATTTTGATCCAATGTTGGTTTTTTCAGAAGGGGTTTAACATAAGACCTTTTAAACTCTGCGGGAACATTTCCTGTACTGAGAGAGTTGTTGATAATGTTAGAAAGAAATGGTAAAAGTTCATCAAGGCACGATTTTAATAGCCATGTTGGTATAGGATCCAGTTCACATGATTTATTTGAAGAACTATTTATTATTTTCTTAATTTCTTCTTTTGATGCTTTCTCAAAGCGAGTCAGACTATTTTCAACGCCAATCTGTTCCGTTTCCACGTCACCTGGGTTTAGAACAAATTTTGATTTTATTTCATCCCTGATGGTCTCTATTTTCTCAACAAAGAAATCACTGAACTCTTGTGGCAATTTATCAGTTTCTATGTTTGTGGGTAAAGATGTCTCAGTTGGACCATTCATTAGGTTATTGGTAATTTGAAACAATTGTTTTTGATCTCGACCACAGGATGTTACCTTATCACAATAATGTTTTACTTTAGCCTCAACCAACATTTTATTTACTTTTGCACATTGATTTCTATATATTTCGTGGTCTATAGTCAATTTAGATGATTGCCAATTTCTTTCTAACTTGCGCCGCATATGTTTTGCGTCATGTAGCTCCTGGGTATACCAAGCACAAGAAGGTCGTAACACTATTGTTTTAGTTTGAATTTGAGCGTGCTTTTCAAGCAAGGTGGAAAGAACATTCGTATATTCTCCTACAAGTTGTTCGAGATCGGTGTGTTCAAGATGTAAGAGTGTTGATGATTTAATATCACTCTTAAAGGAATCTATATCAATTGAGTTGAGTTTTCTATACGTCACTGACTTTCGGATAGGCGGAGGTTTTTCAGCAACGGTATTGAATATAATTGCATAATGATCTTTTGTCACTTTTCCAGATTTGTTGTCTGATAGCCCTGGATCAACAACCTTAATGTTCGAAATTAAGTTGTCAGTGTCCCTAGTAATGACAACATCAAGTGTATGTCCAAGCACATGGGTTGGTTCTCGAACATGTTGTACCATTCCACATGATTGTAGAATGCTTGTGAATTTGATTGTGTCAGGTTGAGTGGGGATATCCAGGTGGAAGTTCAGATCTCCTGTTATTATAATGTTCTTAACATGAGATAGAACAATACCATTAAAAAGCCGAATAACTCACGAGTATTACATTGTATAAAACTGACATAAAAGCTTTCTGTAGAATTCTCTTAATGCAATTATCTTATTTTATTTTCTTGTGACACTGTAAATGCAGTCGTAAAACGATGTAAATAGAACACAATCTAAAATTAGATTCGCACGAGCTATATAACATATTTCCGGGAATCCAGGCGAACTCGTTACGTGTTCTCTTTATGTAGCTCAGAAGTATCAGCACCCGTGAATTCCGACGATGGTGTTGTAATGGACAAGAATAGATTACAAAAAATATATAAAATGAATGACGATAACTTATAGAGTTAAGGTAATGAAATCTGTTTTGCTGGGACTTAAAATATATTCATTGCATTCTAATGAGGCATAATTCGCTTAAAAATCGGACAAATCTTAAAGAAATGCTAATATTGGCATCCATTTGACTCAAAATACTGGCTATGTATGTCATTTACCTTGTTCTTCATATGCATTTATCTGGTGAAAATATAAAAATGCGTCTGATTCGATCACGTGATCGGCATTTATTTCTTCTCCGGTTTTTCTATCGACTATTCTGAACCGATTCTGTAAAATTAAAATAATATTTTGGCATGTTAGACAAATAAAATATAAAATCACACTCAAAGGTCATCGATTATTACTTAAACTGATTACGATGTTAATCTTAACCTTATGAATGCATGCGTGTTGTCCTGTCTGAGTGTCAAAAATTAATCTGATCACTATGTTAATATTCACTTTATGAACTTCTCAGCGTCAAAATAACGTAACACTGCATCAAACAAGATATCTATATGCCGTCTCGTATCTGCCCGGTGTTATGCCGTTGAATTTTACAAATACAACTTTTTAAAAATGTTCCTTTCCCGTCCAAGGCCTATCAAGATTTAAGACAAAACTTTTTATTTAAAATATGGCTAAAATAGAAGACTTACGATGCTGAATATTATTCAACAAGATTTAATTCAGCCTTTATCATGAAAATGTTATTTTTATTTCTAAAAAGAAAAAAATAACTTAACTGTTTGAAATTTGATGACCTATTCATTCATTTGTATTTACCTTAATTTCAGGATAGCCTGTCAGGGACGAAGCAAAAGCATATCCTGTCTTTCTGCCTAATAGAATTTTCGGTACATTTGACAATAGTGGCTGCTGTACAAAAACAAAATAATTTTCCGTCATACTGAAGCTATGGTAGTAGTTAAAATGAATTTTCCATGGCGATTGTGTCTTGAATACGATCTCGCCTGCTGGAAATTCAGTTTCGCCTTCTGTAACAGAAAGTGTATCAAATCTTTTATCATCATTTTGCATTTGTTGGGGAGTTTCTGTTTGTTGTGGTTGTTGTTGTTTTTTTTAGAAATTCATGGAAATCAAGTAAAGATAACATAAACATTCCCGCCCAAGAATGTTAGCACCAGTGAACATTGATATATGTGATTTACATGTATTGTCGAATTTCTTTTTATCAACCAACTTTCGCCACATTGTACACATTGTTCCGTAAAATAGTGAAGATTCATTTTTCGGATGCGGTGATTTTTTTTAATTAAAACAACAATTATGAATCCGATAACAAACGAAAACCCATAATTTACTTGAGATACTTTATTTTCTTTGTAAATACGGCGAAACGTATATAAATACCTTTCTTTGCTGGCACTTTGGTAAGAACTGTAAACAAGCCACGTTTGAATGAATGTCCAATATTGTACATGTTTCCTTCCTCGTCCCAATGGGGATGAGCCGTAGACAAGTTAGCTCCGACCTTTTCCAACAAATCTACCTGAAACAATGATTGTTCATGCTAGAAAAATAATGACAACTTTCAAACGTGAGTGTACATTTTGACGGTAAAGAACTGTAATATAATTCGCCAAATGAATATAAAATTCCACCTATACACTATTTTAAGTCAATCTGGTAAAGTTACGGTAAAGTTACGGTCATCTAATGATCACTTGTTCTTAAAGAGGGCGACATAAGCTTCGGCATCTAATCGTCTTCCTAGAAGTGACATTGATGCTATCGGAATATGACAGAATTTATTATAGCTTACAGGATTAGTATCTTACCATTAAAGTAAATCCAACTCGTTCAAAATAACACATACGACATGACAATTATTAATATATAACACAAACGACACAATCATTACCAATACATGATATGAGCAATACGATCTTCATAGTGATATAACATGTGAACTTTAATTCATCAGCAAACTTTAGCAAAAATAGTAAGCAATCTTCTTTTGCCCCCGATCACACCAACGCGTGTATAATAAAATAGTGACGAATAATATCAATTAAAAATAAGTTTAGTTTGGGAGCGTTACTTTATTATCAGTTAATCTGATACCTTTTCAGTTCTGTCAAGTGTTTCTGGATCTATTTTGTTAAGATATTTAATCTCTGTTGTTGTATAAAGCTCGTCTTTTAGCGGGAAAACATTGACAAGTGTGTTATCAGTCATATCGTCTGTTTCAAATATTGTCAAAAATCTGAAATCAAAATTTTAACATTGAAAGTCATAGAAGAGATTCTAATTATTTGCACAAATGACACCATTTTTCTTGATGTTTCTTTAATATTAGAAAAATAAGCTAAATTATAATAAGATAAACCACATGGAATATAAAGTAATTGTTTTCATATTACTGGCATGTACTGGGGTTACTTTTTCATGATATCTGCTGAACCGGTGACATATTTCAATATTAAAAGTCACAAATCGTAATTCATTGACAAATAAACACAACATATCTAATATGTGAACTTCTTTTACCATATATAACATGGCGCTTTCTTTATTTGCTCCGTTATTTTTCTAGCCGACATATATCATCATTTTATCAACTAAACAAACTTGTCTCAACATGTACATTTACTTGTTTCTTTCGATTTATCCTTCATGAATAAGATTATGAATTATTAACCAGTACATTATGAAAAATTCTTGGAAACAGGGTCTAGGAAAGTTACAGCTATACTATGAAATACCTCTGAAATATGTTCTTGCAGGGATCCGGGCTAGCTGCAGTAGCAAACTCATTGATTGTGATCCTGCCAGAAGTTGTATTGTTCAAAAATGTGTCGCTTCTTAAAAAATTTCTCTGATATGTAACCTTTCCGTCCGCTGTTAAAATAATGTTGTTTTTTTATTCAACTTTGAAATGTCTATTATTTCTATACATATCTGGAAAACAGTGATTCCTTGGAAGCAGCAACATTACATGAAAATTGCAGACTCTGTTTGATTGAGTCTGTACATGAGGGATAATGAATAAGTGCAACAGCCCCCAAAACCGCAACAGATCATGAAAGCAATTGTCTTTTATTGACAGCTGTTCAAATAATATATTGAGACCAAAAGTCACTATCTGGAACAAAGTTAAATGTTATTTTCCAGCTTCAAGTGTAAGGTCCAGATAGATGTTCATGGAGAAATACAATTTTAAAAACAAAGATACATTTATTAACATTAAAAAAATATTCAACAATAATGTGGTGAAAATATACGTGACAACTTAATACATGCAAAGGCATTATGAACTTCAGGCTGTACATTTTTCTCACCCTATGACATTTGGCGCCCAACGGGGGACCGTGACTAATATAGCTCAGAGTTTAAGTTACATTGCTCTGTAACTCTGTGAAATTCGAGGATGAATTTCAATATAGCAGGGGAGTATGTCACGGTTCAGAACTGTTCACTTATTACGGGAGGAAATGTGTGAGCGGCAGGATAGCTCAGTCGGTAGTGTCGCGGAACGGTATTCCGAAAGTCCCGGGTTCGAGTCCTGGTCAGGCTGCACATTTTCTCACCGAGACATTTTGCAAATATCTTGCAAAAACTTTGATAATAATGATTTTGCGGATGCGCAGGCTGGTATGGATCCATGGTGGTCGCAAACACACAATGTTGGTTTTGTCGTGACATGGCTCAAATATTTCCAAAATTGTTAACCCCACAGAAGCTTACACATTGGCTTTGAGCTTTTTACATGAAGATAGTATTTCATTGCTATATATAGGTAGCCCGACAAAGACATGGCCGATTGTGTGCTCGAAGACGCACCTTTTGAAGTCAAACAGTACACTCACTATGATGTATTGATATGCTATGAACAAACATCCAATTTCGATACACAAACCTGTACCAGGCGGTCATACTCTTGGATGTATTACCTCCAGATTAACATTATTTAAACACCAGAACAATAACGATAAATGTGTGATTTGACTTTGTAAACAAAGCATATTGTGCATATTTCAGGTTTTTGTTCAGGAAATATACACGTTTAAAATCCGTTTAGATAGAACATTTTCTTAAGTGTAATAGACGATCTTTATACGGTAAAGCCCGAAGCCTATATGAATACTGAACAAAACATAAGGAAGAGTTAGCGAGACCAAGTGTATTTAGTCAATACAAAATTAATGAAACTTACAGATGTGGAATCGTTGTAACATTGACATGCCATCAAACCAGTGTTTGAACTTGTGCTCCCCGACCTCAAACATTCCCGGACCATTCCGGTATAGACTACCTTTTATCCATACAGGTATTGAACCTGAAAATCAAAAGGTACGAAAATTATCACCGTCAAATTGCCTTTGACAAATTTCATTTAATGCTTCATTCCGAACAGGTTATCTCAATCAGTAATTACATCATACAAAACAAAGACAATTGGAATCCCTCAAGAACGTCCGAAACAACAAAATTGAAAATCTTTCAGGCACGGTTTTATTGTGCCTGTTCTCATACGGAAAAGAAAAGTGCAAGTTACCGTTCACGCCCCCTTGGAGTTGGCTTGCTTGGTCATGTTTTCAAAGATCAAAGATCTTTGAAACTCGTTCAGCACATTCTTACTGCTGTACTTGGGATATTATAGTTCCTTGTATTTGTATCTTTGTTTTCAATATATTCGTGTTTAAATGCTGAATTCTGCTTAAGCGGGCGGTGGGGAGCGTGGACGGTAAACTTCACTTTCTTATATCGTTCGTGAAAAAAATTCTATCGAACCGACCCTGAAACATTTTAAATATTTCCTTTTTTGACGTTCATAATATGTTCCTTTTTTCCATATTATTATATGCCCGATCATATCATACTATTTCAAATGTGTTTATTGAAGAAATGTTGTTTCGACTTACCTTTGACAGTTCCTTGAAGAGGTTCTTCTACCTCGTTTTCTATCGTTTTGTACAATTTATGCATGCTTGCTGCGGCCACACCAACTGTAGAGGAACTCCGTACCAATTTCAACATACAGTTGTTTATAAAATATCGTCACTGTTTTCTAAGAGTTACCACCCCTAGTATGCATGAAAATATGAAATATGTAAAGGGTGATACTCTACTACGATGCACGAAGTTTTTATATGCATGATGTTAGTAAGTTAGCAAGAGACTGAGAAAAGACAGGATGTGAAAAGCAACAACCTGCCTAAATTTGCGAGGCTTGGCACAAATAAACCTCCGTTACGGTAACACATACCCAGCAAACACATGACGTTGTTTCAACGTTGCTCAGACGTTAGAGTCCGACGTTGAATAGACGTTTGAATCTAGTTGTAGTATATGAAAGTTTTTTAGACGCTAGAATCCGACGTTAATCCAACGGCATAAAATGACATAAATCCAATCTCTATTTAACGTATATACATACATGTAGTTCTTTTTTAAAAGGGGTACTTCAAGCAGATTTATCAACATTTTATATATGCCCTCATATACATAATTATTACAACATCACGCTAGTTCCTATTTCATTATAAGGTATGTGAAATGTTAGCTAGAACACCATAATTAACGAGAACATGCTAATTCGCGAGGGTACGGAGCGAGATTTCAGAAATAAAACGGCGAGGACGCGGAGCGCAAACACGCTTATTAGCGCCCCCGCTAATAAGAGTGTTTTCGCTCCGCGCCCCCGCTATTTTCACTTGTTTATTTTTGATTTTTCATTTGGCGGGTCGCGGGGCGAAAACACACTTATTAGCGGAGACGTGGGGCGAAGTTTTGTTTATTAAACTTCGCCCGTGCTTCCGTTTATCAGCGTGTTTTCGCTCCGCTCCCTGTGTTTTCCGCCGTTCTATTTCTTAAATCTCGCTCAGGGACCCCGCGGGGAGAAGTTTTATTTATTAATCTTCGCCCACGCCCCAGCTAATTGACATGTTTTCGACCGCGTCCCCGCCATTTTAACTTTTTAATTCTCGAATTTTCACTTGGCGGGGTCGCGGGGCGAAAACACGAATGACACAAATCAGCCACCATACATTAATGTTATTATACACAAGATAATTGCATGAAAGCTAGTTCAACTATTTCAATATTTGTAAACAATCTTAACAATATTTGATAACAGTGAATTATAGCATCCTATCGATAAAGACCAGTATAAAAGTTTGAGAGCAAAAAAATAGACAGATATTTAATCATATATGGCTATAGTTTATCTTGAAAAATTACAAACTATTACCTATTATAATAGTATATAACTCGCCAGTTTAGTACAATAAGTACATATACGCTAATCAAGTTACCTCTATGATTTTATTTTTCAGTAATATAAATATTGATAAAAACAGGAAGTAATTTCCAAAAATAAATCTGACAATAGATAATATCACTTTACAATTACAGTTTCAATTTGCTTAATCCAGAATGAATATAACAAATTGAATAGCGTTTCCTCTTCTAATCAATATTATAGATACATACACATGTGTGTCTATTACTAGTAGGGAGTGTGTACAAATTAATTGAGTTATATATATAGACACATTACGACTTAAGAAATAGTTGCGATTTTTCCTCTACGTTTAACATAATGTTTATACAATGGATTTCGAGCGTGTTTACGTGCTTCTTCTCACGAGAATAAAGCAACGTTTACAATGGTTTATTGTAAAGAAATATGTAAACTTTTGAGTAATAAAATATATACATGTATAGGATTTTGGGAGGTTAATGAGTTAGTAACGCAACATATTTAATGAGTTCAATAGACAAAAATAATCAATGTAAAACATACCTGTTATAACAATCCAGTGACTAGATCCATGTACTTTGCATAAATACTAATTGTTCTATAAATAACCTGCCATTATTGTCACATGATCTGTCTAGTTGACGAGTGTCAGGTGACTGCTGATTTGACATATTATAATGATGTCTACGTCATGAACATAATGAAATAAACAGAAACTGAATATGATTATAGCAACAGTTTAGAACATTATTTTAAATAATAACTTGTCGAAACTGTACGTGGTAGTTAATTATATATATTTAGAAAAATAATTATTTTACTTGATAACAAATCCATTTCAGTATTATCTATTTACTATATCTAGAAAACCTTCCGGACGCTTTGCTATATTAAATATTTTTAGAGCGGCCTAAACTGCGCCCGGGCAAACGTAAGCAATATAGCTTAATGTTTCATCAGCAAAATTACATTTTTTTTAATTAAAGTTATTTAGAAAAAAAAAACTTAATAAACATTAATTGGTTGCAATGTTTTCTTATTTTCTATTTTCATCGGTACAAATGTAAGTGCATCGGACATTCTTTAGTTTTATGAATACAAGCAAAACTTTAATTGCTTAAATTGCTTTTTTATTTCCAAAAATATTTTAAGAAAACATTACGTAGCTAAAATGAAAAAGTATAAGAGCTTTACTCTTTTCTAAAATCACAATAGTACTTCCGGACGCTTCCAAACGCTTCAAAATTTGCCTACGGACGCTTGTTAGTTATACTGCGGATTTCACAAGTCGTTGCTTGATTCTTGAAGTGCTCGATTCCCATTTTGTCCCAAACCGAGATTTTATTTTTAATGAATTGAACCCGTCTCCAGTTTGCCTCCTGTACACATACATTTTGACGTCATTTATGTTAAAACAAAGGGAATCACCCAATGCGTTTTTACTTTCCTGAACCGAGCTCAACTTGGTTCTATATCGTTAAAACATATTCAATGTTTCCTATCAAAAATCGCTGGTATTATTTTGTTTTATCTCCACTGTTTGAAAATGCGCACGGCTTTATCAAAATATATCACGTGATGGCTGCTTGTTCGTAAAGATTTGCTCTATGTCCCTTATACCCTGTCGGGCTTTAATGCCATTAATTTTTTAGGCATGGGGGGGGGCACGTGAGTGATCTCCCCTTATCAATACTTCATTACAATTCTGCAAAAACGGTAACCACTGTGAGGAGTTTGCTAATTTAATTGTGATTACCTCCCCTAACTACGTTATATTATTGTACTGTAGCTAATCATCTCCTGTGCAGATGAAATAATAACATGCTAGCTTCAAATAAGTGATGTCTGAGGCTCGAAACACGAGACAAAAGGCTCATTTCCTTTAAAAGTATACATTTTATGAAAGAGTATTATGTATATTCTTTCTCAAGTAATCGATATCAGCGAAAGTAAACCGCATGTATGTCTATATCTTTAAAAATGTAAATGACTGACAGTCTTATATGTATCAAAATCGAAATGTCGTAAAAAATATGAATAGAACAGAACAGAACATACGTTTTATATTTTTACAGCTTGCTCGTGTATACTTGAAGATGTTCACAATTTACGTTTTACTAGATGCTCAATGCATGAATATGGACACTCATAACTGGTTTTAATTGTTTGGACATATGTGCCATTCTTGATTCTGTGAAATGGGTAAAGTATTTTAAATTACGAGCATGCGTTTATATAAATGTTTTATACTTCTTAGAAAAAAAATTAAAGTGGTGAATGCAGATTTCTATAAGTTCACTCTGCTATCCTTAAAGTTTTAAAAATGTCTCGCCTCGAAGTGCTCCAATTGTCCTATCTAATCCGTTTAAATGTACAGAAAGAGCAGTGTAAAGTGCATAATATAAATCTAAAGTATATATCTATAACTCTGTGTTTATCTTCAAATCATGCAAAATTGCAGAAGTAAGTAAACAAATGAAACAAAAGAAACCCATTTTCAAATTCTTCAAATTACCATGAAATTTGTGTAAAATATTAGGGGCTATTTCGCAAAATAATTACCCATTGAAAATCAATAACAAAATTATTATCCAGTTGGAAATACCTGCAGCATGAAGTACGTAATAGATATACCGTATACTAGATCAGAGATGTAGATCTATAACGATCTAGATTTTAAGAGAAATTTCTTTTAATAATTTCACTGTCATATACATGTATTGTGGAAAAATCCGTTAGCTGATCGGAAAGTGGCAATTCGAGGATATATGATATAAATCATGTAACACCTGTTACCTTTCTCATCTGGGATTAGCGGGAAAGACCCTGGTGCGATGAGGTTGAATATTTTCAGTTATGGGGATATACTATTCTCCGGTCCGGTCGCTTCCGGTCACCTTTCACAAAAACTTGATAATACAACACTCCAATTGATAAAACAAAGAATATTTGATAACTATTACCAAAAATGGTATTCTGAAATAAACAACTCGAGCAAATTAAAAACATATGCAAACTTTAAACATGAATTCAAAAGAGAAAAATATCTAGACACTGTTAAAGAAAATTACTTAAGAAACAGCTTTAGCTAAAATTTCAGAGTCTCAGTACACCAATTAGCCATAGAAAACGGGAAAGATACACTAACATACCCCTAAATGAGGCGTCTTTGTAAGTCTTATAATCATGCAATCTATTGAAACAGAATACCACTTTTTACTAGTTTGTCCAAAATATAGACCCATTAGAAGTAATTAGTAATTTTTTTTAAAGTTATTATTGTCACTGGCCTTCTTTAAACAAATTTGAAAATATCATGAGTTCATCATCAAAAAATACTTTATATAACTTAGCAAAATTCATTTTTTCTACAAATAAAATTCGCATTGTTTAAGGCATCATATTTTGATAATATTGTATTGAAATTCTTCTCTTTGTCAGTTTGTTAAGCTCTTGTTAATTGTTTACCTCATGTCTTATCCATTGGACAGGTATATATGTTTATATTGTTTACCTGCTATAAACATTGTATAATGTTTCAGGCAATAAAATTGGACAATGGAAAATTGTGTTTTACGTGCTATTTTAATACTGAGTTATTACGTTTATTTCTATTTTTTTATTATATAAATTTTAAAAATTTAATTGTCATGTTGACCGACGATTATGAAAATTATCTAACTGGAAAAAGTCAGTAAATTATGAGAATTCTTTCAATATATTACATTCATTATTCTTAAAGCATCTATTTATTATTATTTTAAAAATATCAATCAATTAAATAATTCATAAAATCTACTTAGAATCTCTTTACTAAACGCGAATAGCAATTAAATAAATGATTCATCAATACCATCAGGTAGGCTACGTATATATAGGCCTACGTTAATATACGTACCTGATACCATAAAGATGTACCTTTTATTCAATGATTGAATGTATTTATTGTTTTTATCATACATAAATAAAATGAAAATGTTATTTTTTTTAGAATTGAAAGTTTATGTATTAGTTATAATAATAATAGATCTAATAAATAAATAAATAAATTTGAGAAATGATCTGTGTTACTTAATTATTGTAACTAAACTTAGTGACAAACTTTTAATTTTGGAGAGAAAAAAACTTATTTATTTGTTACGATATCAAATAAAATATCTACTTCTAAACCGGGAGAGACCGGACAATAAACGTGCGATACTATTCGCCGGGAGAGACCGGGATTTACCGATAGGAGACCGGAGAATAGTACATCCCATAGTTACGTCCCTTTGTTATCGAAACGCCATTTGTAATCAAGTAGCGATCTTTGATATTTATCTTTCCGCTGGGGCGAACAGGATCTAGGACCTTATTGAATCTAACAGTTCGTATCATTTTACTGTACATGAACTATAATATGACTTGTCAAATAAAAACGATAAAAATCCGAACTGAATTTTATCGAGATCTAACCCGGGTTTATGGCTGTTTAATTTCAGATAAATTTGCTGATAAAAAAAATCTATTTAGGTCTTTGTCAAATGAAAATTACCATGAATCTGGTGGCGTGCTGCTTTAATTGTTGACGTTTGAAATCAAAGGGGGTTGTAACGGTGCCAGGACTCTATAGGGTTAGTTTTGTGACCAAAGCTGGGTCCAGACCAAAAAAACATGTGACAACCGTTACATAGACCTATACTGGTCGGGGACCTTCAATCGGGCATTTTTTTAACATTTTTAACCTAGAAACCAACAAATTTGACACAGTTCAGCTAGTTTCTTCTCCTAACTATCAACCTAGTTTGTTTATTTCTGATTGTATAGATACTAATATCTGAGGCTCGACAAGGAGGGTATCCAAATTACCTAAATTGTCTACACTACAGTACCTAGTTCTGGCTTCCAAAACTTTATAAGCCGCTATTTAACATTTTTGTTTCTCATCTGATGCAAGCAGTTGTTATAGTATTGTAAGGTACGTGAGACCTTAAGCTACAGTACATGGTTCCGAAGATAATTAGTACTGTGCTCCTCTTAGTTCAGCCGTACTTAACATTCAAAACAGTAAAAGACGACACAATAATAAACTTACACTCACAAAGAATGTATAAACTGTATATTTGTCATTTTTTTTTAAATACACAATTAAGGAAACAATATTATTCAATCCAAAATGTTAGTTTTAATTTGTCAGATGTAGACCGTGGTGTCAGCCATTTTGAAAAACAGTATGCATCATTTAACTCGCGATAATGGTGGTTTTATTTCAGTTTTTTTCATTGTTTCAGTTAAAATTTCTTTATGTTTTATTTTTGCATAATTTTAAATATTAAAAGTATCTTACATTGTTAACTCAAAATTTATTCTTCAACAAACAAGAACATTTAGAAAATGATGATTGTTTCCCAGACGTATGCACAAAATTTAATGGACTATTGTTGTTTTTTGCAGAAGTTTGTAAAATGTTGTTGTTCACGTTTTACGTAAAAATCTATAGATTTAAATTATTTTTTGCACAAAATCTTTGTTGTTAAGGTGTTTGAATAAAATATGTCAATTCTGACCATCTTTAACACTTGGTCACATTGAAAATATGCCATTACCGTGAGATAAGTGATGACGCGGAGTTAGTGATGTTGAGTATTACATGACGCTGATTTAATTCAGATAAAAGCTTGGGTGTTTTGATTTTTAACATTATAAACAATATTTCAGCAACCGCAACAATGCTGAAGTTTTGGATATTCTATTTTTTACTCTGCAATTGATTATACATGTAGCTGGTATATGAGGTTAGGCATTGCTTTCTTGACCCCAAAATCTCAACATCAACATTCTTGAAATAGACATTAAAATATTACCATTTACGGAGGTTGAAATAAATTTATTTACTTAATTTTAGAAGAAACATGCATTAATTTTACTGTTAATAAAAAAGTGACTGACAACCACTGAAGAAAGAAATTACTAAATTCATACATGTGAACTCTTCCACTTTTAAAAATGTTTTGAATATTTACAACTGCCAAAAGGTATTTTTAGTTCACAAATGATCAACAGAAAGTTAGTCACTTGATCTTTTGAACAATTAACTTCAATTGTGAACTTTACAATTGTCATACAAAATAAAAATATAAACAATTGACCTTATGAAATAAATGTACATAATTTAGGATATACAAAATTTTGGTTATTGGTAATAACCGCATGGACTTAACAAAAGATCAGTTATTGTAATGGCTGTAACATTGCTACCTTAAATGATAAGAGTTTGTGTCTGTGTTAGTGGGTAGTAATATAATTTAAACAACTGTTCATTAATATCATGTTGACTCAAATGTTCTTTGCAAACAAAAACATGTTTAAAATTCTGTGTACCCCCAGATTTTGAAATGTACCCCCCAATTTCGGGGGCACATGTACCTGTACATTTGAAATTGAGTGGGCATACTGCTATACAATGTCATGTATATTGTATATAATGAAAGATTTGGATTGTATGAAGGGAAGAATTTACAGGATATACAAAATATTTATATACAGTGCAAGATCAGGTAAATATGTTGCAAGTTGCAGACATTATAATTCTGGAATAAGGTTTACAAGAGAGAATAATTTGCCACTCAGTTATAGCTACTGTCTGTCTGTATTGAAATCATACTTGCCACAAGATTATATTTTTTTTACACTTTTTTTCTGAAGCCTGTCTCCATCCTTTAGGTTTCATTGCTCATTATATATTACTTTATTTATTTGTAGATTTGATTTATGCTTGAACAAAAGAACACATATGACAAGACTGACTTGTTGAATTATTTTTATTCAGTTGAAATTATTATGTTTTCTTGGAGTATTCCTTACTACAATTATTATTATTCTTCCTCCAGTGTGTTTGACTTTAGAGATGAGAAAAAATTGAGTGTAGACCCTTGAATGGCACTGCCATCTGTTAAAGAAACATAATTGTGACCTCAGTACTTAGAGTACCTACAAATTATAATTCTTCCGGGCAGAGTCCTCGTATTCCTTTGGTTTCATTATTATGTGCCAAACAGACAAAAAAATGAGAAATTTAAGAATTATGTATTAACAACTCTTGATTAAGTTACCTTTTTAAGAAAAACATTATGGACTGATCTACTGTGCTGCATTACATGCTTTAGTTATTATTTATAAGTTACTGCTTTACTTTCAGAATGATGATAAAAAATTTTGCATAAAAAACAGAATGTTCGAGACATTACCCATTGATTCACCCTCTGTCCAGACATCAGCCCTGCTTACAGTGTGCCTTCTAGTATGTTATCAACTGATTTCATGGTATGTACGATATCAAAGATGGGTAGCAGTTTACAATGAATTGCCGGGAAAGAAAGAAAAGCACTGGTTCTTTGGCCACATGAACGAGGTAAATTATTCTGGTTCTTTTGCCACATAAGTTATGTAATCTGAATTTTTTATAGAAATAGTCTTCGGCCGTCCGTCCTTCTGTCGAACATTTTTGTCAGGAGCATATCTAAAAAAGTATTTGAGATATCAACTTGAAACTTCATAGGTTGATTAACTTTATTGAAGAGGAGTGCAGTGCACAAGAATGATAATTCTACCCTGCCTAATTTTTGAGTTATGGCCCTTGTTATTTTAGCTCACCTTTGAGATATCAACATGAAACTTCATAGGTGCATAGATCTCACTCAGGAGGTGTGCAGTGCACAAAATGATAACTCTACCTTTCATAATTTTTGAGTTATTGCCCTTTGTTATTTTTCATACATTTTTCACCTGAGTGGAGCATAACTCAAAAAGTGTTTGAGATGTCAATATGAAATGTCATAGGTGGATAGATTTTATTGAGGAGGAATGCTGTGCGCAAGAATGATAACTCTTCCCTATATAATTAGCTCGACTATTCACAGAATAATCGTGCTAATGCTTTCACCCATTTGTCGGCGTCCCTGTGGTTAAGTTTTTGCTGGCAAGGTGGTATCTCCATAACTACTGAAGGGAATGGATTGAAACTTCACATACTTGTTCTCTGTGATTATCTTACATGCTTGGCACAAGTCCCATAACTCTGATTTGCTTTTTTGCATGATTATGCCCCTTTTTCGACTTAGAAATTCTTGGTTAAGTTTTTGCGTGCAAGCTTGTATCTCCATAACTACTGAGGGAATGGAGTGAAACTTCACACGCTTGTTCTCTGTGATTATCTAACATTATTGACACAAGTCCAATAACTGTGATTTGCTTTTTGGCATTATTATGCCCCTTTTTCTACTTAGAAATTCTTGGTTAAGCAAATATCTCCATAACAATTGAAGGATTTGTGCCTTTTTTGGAACAATTTTATGCATTCATAATAATAAAGCAGTGATTAATTTGATAAAACATCTTAATAACAAGCCTTTGTACCTTTTCGGACAATTTTATGTATTCATATAGGTAAGCATTATTATACTAAATGAAACACACTTGTGAAAACTTTTCGAATAGTCGAGCGTTACTGTCCTCGGATCATTCTTGTTTTTGAGTTATTGCCCTTTGTTCTTTTTCATGCTATTTTGTACGGAGCTTATCTCAAAAAGTATTTGAGGTATCAGCTTGAAACTTCATAGGTGGATAGATTTTGCTGAGGAGGGGCGCAGCACACAAGAATGATAAGCTACTCTGCATTATTTTTCAGTTATTGCCCTTTGTTATTTTCAGCCATCAGTATTCACATAGGTTTCAAATCTGTAATCACTTCAGCCATCAGTTTTCATTACCAAAAGACCTCTTAAAATTGAGTTATTCTGCTCTACTACATATACATTCTTCCAATGAACAAACACATTCGGCAGGGGATGGCCATGTTGACATGCCTCTTTTTTATTTGGTCACATGACTTTAATTGATGTAAAAAAGTCTCAGGTTCTCTTGGCCCTCATGAATGATGTAAATTTGTTTGATGTTTTGGCAACATAAATGAGCTAAACTATATTGGTACTTTAGCCACATGAATAATGTAAAATTGTCTGGTTCTGAAAAATGACAACAAGTCTGGTGCTTGGCTCAATTGAATAAAATGAATAACCTAGTCCAGTTCTTGGCCACATGTGTGATAAAAACTAGACTTGCTCTTTGGTTGCATGGTATTACCAGTTTACCCTCTGGATCATGGCAGCATCCCACTTTAAATTTACTAGAGCACATTTCAGCCACCTCATTGTTTCTGGGCAGACTTAAAGCAAGCTTCAGGTACTATATGATTTCACTTTGCAAAGAACCTATAACTTCTTTATGTGCTATAGTGCAAATGACGATATATATTTCTTGATCAATCATGAACGACAATGACCTGCACTGTCTGGGAATTGAATATGAGTCGCCGATTAACAGTCTGTTGCTCTACTTATTGAGCTTACTAGATGGCTACATAAATTACGAAAACTATTCAGGTTATATGGCCACATGAATAAGGTAAATTAGTCTGGTTCTTGGCTCACATGAATAAGGTAAATTAGTCTGGTTCTTGGCTCACATGAATAAGGTAAATTAGTCTGGTTCTTGGCTCACATGAATAAGGTAAATTAGTCTGGTTCTTGGCTCACATGAATGAGGTTAATTATACCCTTCCATGATAACATTTTTTTTTATAAATGGCATGCCAATGTGTTTGTTTTTAGGACCATAATATAACAAATTAAATCATTTCCATAAACCTCTACATTTTTCAATTGTAGCACCCAGGTCCATCAGAAGAAGGTATTAAATACCAAGTATCGTTCACAGAATTGTTCCCAAAGATGTTTACTGTATGGTTTGGGAAACTACGTTGTATTGTCATAGTCCATCATCCAGATACTATGAGAGTAATAATGCGAACTTCTGGTAATTCTTTGTTTGTTTGATTGGGTTTTACGTTACACCGCATCATTATAGGTCTTATGGTGACGTTCCAGCTTTACTGGTGGAGGAAGACCTCAAGGCGTCCTTCCGTGTATTATTTCAGGCACAAACGGGCACCTGAGTAGAAACACCAACATTCCAAAATCTATCTGGATAGCTTCCTCACATGATAGAATCCAAAGTCCTTGTAAGGATTTGAACCCACAGCGGTGAGGGGCAAGTGGTTTGAAGTCTACTACCTTAACCACTCAGCCATGGACACCCCCATACATTGTACTTTTGATAATATTTTGTGTTTAATTTGTTAAGTTGTAGCCACTAGACTACAAAGTTCAATTGTTTACATTTATGGACAGCTTCTTCTTTTAACACCAATACTTTACCGTTTATCTAATGAATAGCAAGTTAACAAAAGTTAACAAGTGTGAAAAATTGTACTCATTTAGTCCACCTGCTTTGCTAGTTGATTGTACTAAACAAATCATTTTACACTTACTTTATTTTTATTTAGCATATGTAGCTAGAAAACCTCGTGATCCCGGTACAGCCTATCAGGTTGGTTTCCAGTGGCTAGGGGAGGGTTTACTGATAGCCAATGGTGATAAATGGGCAAGAAATAGACGTCTTCTTACACCAGCTTTCCATTTTGATATTCTTCAGCCATACATGGGTGTCTTCAACAAATGCACTGACATACTTCTGGTAAATATTTTCCAAAACATTTTCCGTTTAAATTTTTTAACTTGGTTCCTTCTATATCATTATTAAAGCTGCATGCCTCCAGATGAGCCAAAAAATATTTCTAGAAAATTAAGTCCACATTTAGCTTGCTAACACTCAAGTGGTCACATTTTTGCCTAAATTGTCATCAAACTTTGTCAGGATGTTTGTCTTAGTAATTGCTCAAATGAGTTTGCACACAAGTGATTTCGGATGAAAATCTAGGCCACAGGAGTTAAAAATAGAAAATCTTGTTAACACTCTGGTGGCTACTGTTTTGATCAAGATATCCTTGAAATTGGTCAGAAAGGTTGATATGACAATCTCTAGGTCGTGAAAATATCCTGGAAATTAGTCAGAATGGTTATTATGATGCTTTCTAGGTCAGGTTTAAATATGGGTCACCTTTGGTCAAAATCTAGGTCACATATCATAATTATGGAAATACCTTGTTAACACTCTAGAGGCTTCTGTTTTGACCATGATATTGTGGAAATTTGTCAGAAAAGTTGTTTTAATGATTTCTAGGTCTATTTCCAATATGGGTTCCAAGGGTCAAAAACTAGATCACACAGTCCAAATATGGAAAAAACTTGTTAACGCTCTAGAGGAGTCTACTGTTCCAGTACAAATATTCTGAAATTGGTCAAAAAGGTTGATATGATGATATCTGTGTCAAGTTTAATTATGGGTCACTTTGGGACAAAAACAAGGTCATACAGCCCATATATTGAAAAACCTTGTTAACACTCTAGAGGCTACTGTTTTTAGCTCACCTGTCACAAAGTGACAGGGTAAGCTTTTGTGATCGCTTTTCTTCCGGCGTCCGTCCCGCGTCCGTCCGTCCGTAAACTTTTGCTTCAAATGACATCTCCTCATAAACCACTAAGCCAAATTCATCCAAACTTCACAGGAATGTTCCTTTGGTGGTCACCTTAAAAAATTGTTCAAAGAATATAATTCCATGCAGAACTCTGGTTGCCATGGCAACCGAAAGAAAAAACTTTAAATATCTTCTTTAAAAGAACCCAAAGAGCTAGAGCTTAGATATTTGGCATGAAACATCTTCTAATGAGTGTCTACCAAGTTTGTTCAAATAAAAGCCCTGGGGTCAAAATTGGCCCTGCCCCAGGGGGTCATTGATTTTCCCTATATGCATATAGTAAAAACTTAAAAAATCTTCTTTGAAATAACCCAAATAGCTAGAGTTAGATATTAAGCATGAAACATCTTCTAATAAGTGTCTACAAATGTTGTTTAAAATAAAAGCCCTTGGGTTAAAACTGGCCCCACCCCAGGGGTATCATTGTTTTTAACTATATGTGTTAAAAACCCCATTGAGCTAGAGCTTTGATGTTTAACATGAAACATCTTCTTATAGGTTTCTACCAAGTTTGTTCAAATAAAAGCCCTTGGGTAAGAATTAACTCTGCCGGGTGGGGGGGGAAGATCATTGTTTTTCTTTATCTGTGTAAAGCAAAATCTTAACATCATGAAACATCTTCTAATGGGTGTCTTAATTCCAAGTTTGTTCAAATAAAAGCCTTGGGGTTTAAACTGGCCCCGCTTAGGGGGCCTATATACAGGTGAGCGATCTCATGGCCATCATGGCCCGCTTGTTATCCTGATATCCTGAAAATTAGTCAGAAAAGTTGTTTTGGCAATTTCTAGGTCAAGTATGAATATGGGTCACATGGGATCAGAAATGGGTTCCCAAGGGTCAAAAACTAGGTCACACAATCCAAATATGAAAAAACCTTATAAGCACTCCAGGGGCTACTGTTCAACTCCAAAAATCCAGGAAATTGGTCAGAAAACTTGTTTCGATGATTTCTAGATCAAGTTCTAAAATGGGTCACTTGGGTGCAAAACCTAGGTCACACAGCCCAAATATGGAAAAACCTTGTTAACACTTAGAGGCTACTGTTTTGACCCAAACATCCTGGAAATTGGTCAGAAAGGTTGTTTTGATGATTTCTAGGTCGAGTTCAAATATGGTTCGTATGAGGTCAAAAACTAGGTCAAAAAGCCAAAATAGTGAAAAACATTCTTAACACAATAGGGGCAATTGTTTCAGTCAAATTTTCCTGAAAATTGGTCAGAAACGTTGTTATGATCATTTCAAGTAATAATTTCAATATGGGTCATCTGGGGTCAAAAACTATGTCACACTGCGCAAATATGGAGAAACCTTGTTAACACTCTAGAGGCTACTCATTTCATCCAAATATCCTGGAAAAACCGTGTTAACAGTCACAAAGGGATTCTGCTCCAAATATCATAGAAATTTTGATTGAGCCTTTTTAATCAGGTGAGCGATATGAAGGCCATCATGACCCTCTTGTTTGTAACAATACACCTGAAAGTGGAGGCATCTCTATCCTATAGACACATCGACAAGTTCTTCCTGTAATGGTATTAACATTAATATTTCAATTGTAGGAGAAAATTGGAAAGGTTGCTGAAACAGGAGAGGCTTTTGAGGTGTTTGATCATATAGGATTGTGTTCTCTAGATATTATTACAAGATGTGCATTTTCATATAATACTGACTGCCAAACACAAGGGTAAGCACTTTGATTTTTTTTAATCCATATACCATAAGTATAGGGAGATTAGAAATGATATCTTTCCTTCTGTAATGATTTTTTATGCAGTGTCTTTTTCTACATTAGTGACATCACATAGCATGTGCCCCTTGCATCATTAAATTGGTTGGAGCAAACAGATGTCAGATCATCAGATGCCTTTTTGACTAGTTGACCTTTTGTTACTATATGCTAGCCTCTTGATTCTTCTTTATGAAATGGTATGAAAAAGCTGCCTAATGTCATGTTTAACAAGCTTATATGGTAATGTTAATCTTAATGCTCAACATTATAAAAGGGGGAGTATGTGGCTTGGTTATTAAGGTTGATGACTTAAAACTATTTGCCCCTTACTGCTGCGGGTTTGAATCACAGCAGAAACTTTGGATTTTTTCAAATGAGATAGCTATCCAGCTAGCCTACGGAAATTCAGTGGACAGGTTCTACTTAGGGGTATGTTTATCCCAGACATGCTGCACTTAGGGAGATCTGAAGTCTGCCTCCTTCAGTTAAGCTGAAAGGATGCCACAAGATTATGATCTTGACATTAAAATCAACCAGTAAATAGTTTGTAAGATAAATTGTAATATTCATTCTGATAAAGAAAATGTTGGATGCTTTGCTTTGACTAGGATCAGCTTATCAATCTCATTGTCATTATTTCAGACAAAAACATCCATATGTCCAAGCTGTACATGAACTTTCAGATTTATGGATCACAAGATCTTTGTAAGTACAAACATCTATTTAAAGGGATACTCAGGCAAATTGATGACAAAATATTAAGATAATCATAATGTTATGTGCTCACATCACGCTGAAATGTCATTTTTAAAGTCCCAGCATAAATTTCTGTATAAATTATAAATATTTTGGGTTTTAAGGGTAAATATATCTATATTTGTTGAACGAAATTTAGATGCCGACTGAATCACCGAGTAGTTTTAAAAAAGTCACGTAACTTGAACAAACCCTGGAAGTTACAATAACAGACACTGTGGATATTGTATGATTGAAACAAGTCTTAAGTCATTCATTTGAAATGTTCTTAAATGTTTCCAGAGTTCACTGTGACAACTAATGTGAAATCGTAACACTGTAACATGACCAATGGGGGTCAAGTTAGGAAACCACCATTTTATTCAAAAGTTTTGTCCCTGTCACTGCCTAGTGTATTCATTTTGAGGACATTTACAGAATAATGAATTAAAAAATCAAAACGAAGAAATGAAAATTTTGCCAGTGTCTCCCTTTAAGTATCATAGCAACCATATTTATTTGTAAGGATTCAAATGGAAACATTGAAAAGATTTAAAATACAACCTCAGAATTTCAAACTTACTAATAAACATTGAAATATTAAAACATAGGATAGTATACATATGGACTTTTCTTCTCCTTTCCTTATGTAAAAAGTTAATGCTACATGCCTCTAGATAAGCAAAAATATTTGAATAGAAAAATGTACTGAGATACTTTAACCTCTTTTTGGTAATTTACATGGATTTGAAGTGCCATTTGCAATCTGTAAATTACATTCTTAGTTCACATTAGTTTATTTTAATTTCAAATTTTCAAGATAATTAGCAAGTAACTGGAGGCATGCTGCTTTAAACTGAAATGTAAATCAAGCAGATCAAGTGCCTGTTCCTAAAAAAAAAACCTTAAAAAGTTGGTTTTACATAGTATTATATCAGTATTGTAACTCAATGACACTTTCTAATAACACAATACTCATACCAAAAGGGCCTGCTTGATAATGACAGTGTGACTGTTGTGATATGTGGCAGTTGATTGAGTCGCATCATGATAAATATCTTGTTAATGCATATATCATTTCAGAAAAGTGGTACATGCATTTGACTTCATTTATTTCAACTTTACAAAGAATGGGAAAAAATTTCTAAAACTATGCAAGTATGTTCACGGGGTATCAGAAGACATTATTGAAAAGAGAAGGCAGGCAATAGTATGTATGACAATGCTATGATTTTCATCAATTATATTAATATAATTTTGTATTTATGGTTTTTAAGTCATTACTTAGTCACTTGTTTTAAAACATTGCCAGTTTTAAGTAAAAGATTACTGATAAAAAGCATAAAAATGTACACTTCACGAGAGGTTGGTGCATATTTAGCTTGTCATAGGTCAAAGTACACAAAGTGTTGCAAATAAATCCTCAGTTAGTCACCTTAGTGCAATAACTGGTTAACTCCTATTAAATTTAGAAGGAATTACGCTGTTACTGCACTAAGGTGACAAGGTTCTTATCATTAACCAACAATAAACTACACAAAGATGTGGGCCAAACTTAACAGGCATGATCCTCCTTAGTACTTTGATAAAATTTATGTTTGATATTCTAAAAAACCCAAATACAATAGAAGGTTAAGAAGCTAAAGATGCATCTTTAAAGTGAATCTTTTAAAATATTTTTTGTCTGGAATTGAGATTCCCTAAGCTTTTGTCTAGAAATAAGATACCTTAAGCTCTTGTCTGGAAGTAAGATACCCTAAGCTCTTGTCTAGAAATAAGATACCTTAAGCTCTTGCCTGGAAGTAAGATACCCTAAGCTCTTGTCTAGAAATAAGATACCTTAAGCTCTTGCCTGGAAGTAAGATACCCTAAGCTCTTGCCTGGAAGCCTATCAGACTATCTGTATCATGTAATGTGGTTTGCACTGTTCAATTTTCAATCAGTACTTTTTTTTGAAATTTTTTGGAAGAATTTAGACTGGTTTAGTCCAGATTGAAAGATAGAAAAGCTCATTTTATATGATATTTAGCATTAGTAAAGGTTAAGGGTTTCTCTATTTTTCCTTTATTTAAACAGCAAGGATTGCCAAATCAAAACAGAGCTGTTAAATCAGGTAGTAAAAGAAGCCTAGACTTTCTGTTGCTGGGTCGTGTGGGATTGCGTTCATTGAATGCCGCCTTTCCTTGTTTGATTATGTTTACCATATTTAATGCAACATATCAACTCATTTGTAGATAATACAAGGATTGATTGTAGTTCAGATAAAACTGATGACTGGAAATCTATATATATATGTACATGTATTTATAAGAGAACGAGATATGGTTTTGTAGTTAAATGTTATATTCATAAATTATCATTTTAATTTCTCCATTTTTCCTTTATTTAGAAGCAGCAAGGATTGCCCAATCAAAGCAAGGCTGGAAAATCAGGTAGTAAAAGAAGTCTAGACTTTCTCGATATAATTCTTACAGCCAGAGATGATAATGGTGAAGGTTTAAATGACCTAGAAATAAGGAATGAAGTTGATACATTCTTATTTGAAGGTATGGAATAAAATAAATAATATAAGGGCTGTTCTGAAAGTTAGTAGACAAGGCTATAAAAATATAATAAGCAGTCATATCAATATGATGATTGAATACTTTTCTTAAGTATTTATTCTGCTACATATTTCTAAATTAAAAAACATGATAAAAGTAATATTCACAAAGCTCCAATCACCATGGCAATATGATCAGCGAATTACAGAGCACTATAATTTCACGACAATAGCTACTTGAATAATAAGTTGCTAAAAGTTGTAATTTTAACACAAACTCTGGTTTTAATTTTGTGACATCAAAGGATACTATTGCATGATGTTTAGTGAAAATTATGATGTAATACGCAAATAAACAGTAATTTTTGATGTGTTTGCTAGATATGTATATCTTTGCTGCAACACAGGTTGCATAATTTTGAGTTACAATTAACTGTTTTACAGTGTAAAGCCCTTTTCTTACTGTTAAGCTAAGTAGATGAGAGTGCTGTCTTACAGACAACTCATGTTTGTATATTACAGGGCATGATACAACAAGTTCTGCTATTAGTTTTATACTGTATGAATTGGCTCGACATCCAGAAATACAGGAGGAATGCCAGAAGGAGGTTGATGCTATAATAGAAGGTCGGGACAATGATAATATTGAATGGTGGGTACAGATCAGTTGAAAATATAAAATTTGATAATTTATTCATTACTGTTCATATATTAATTTATTCATTACCGTTCATATATTTTGTATTGTACATTTTTTTAGCTCGCCTATTTAAAGAATAGGAAGAGCTATTGTATGTATCCTGATGTCATTGTCTATGTCACTCTTTGGTTATTTTTTATATGCAAGTTGGTTTCTCAAAAACTACTGAACGCAATTGGTTGAAGCTTCACATGTTTATTTGGCAATTATAGGAGGTAACTCTTCAAGGGCCATAACTCTGATATGGTGTTTGGCAGAATTATATCTCTGATATGGTGTTTGGCAGAATTATGGCCCTTTTTGAACATACATAATTCCAGATTATCCAGGTTCCTATTTATCTATCAAGCACTGAGAATATCAGCCTGTCCTACTGACAGGTCTAGTTTTCTTGATAAATTTGTATAGTTGTCAAAGTTTTACTTCTTTGAAATATCGTTTTTGTAAACATAATCATAATTATGTACATGGAAAAATATACTAGTACATGAATTATATTACAAATTCATAAATGTCTTAAGTACTCTTGTATTTTCCTGATATTTAGAAGAAACTAAAAGAAGATATATTTGAAAAATCTTGTGTGGTGATGAATTCAATATGCTCATTTTTTGCATGAATTTTAAACCATTTATATCTTTGAAATATAGATGCAATAATCTCAATTATACTACACTACACTCTTTTACATTTTAAAGGCTAAACATACTTAAGGATGTAGGAGCGTTTACAAATTACGGTAGTTCAGTAACAATGTCGTAAACCATTTTTTTAATGTGTAAGATATTCTACCGATAATATTAGACAGGCAAGTATGTTTTAATTATTCAGGCGTGATACCCATTTAAATTTGAAGAGATAAATGTTCCTATCAATTGATTTTTTTTACGACAACAAATAACGATATACGGTACATGCATCACCGTGGCGCTTTGTTTTAAAATAATAATACCCAAACATGCGCCTGTCTACATTGACTTCCTTGTTTCTGGCTACTTTAGACGAAGTACGAAATACCTCTCGAAAGAAATGCGGAAGATTTCATAAACGTAATCTTAAGCAGGTAACACCATGTTTAGAACATGTGCCGATAGTCGAAAGAAGATCTTATGATCACAATTATACATAGCCATCGGACTTTAGGGTTCAGGAAAAGTTGATAGATGTGGACATGGTGGAATACGAGTATTTTACAACAGAGGAAGCCTGGAAAACTGGAAGGAGAATTGTGGAACTTGACACATTATCTGAAGGTTTAAAGTCATGTTTTGCCTGTGCCAGCCCTTTATATCTGGAAAACACAGTAAACAGTAAGAACTTTGGGCTTGCCAGTGTACTTGACATCGCTTGTCAGAAGTGCGGCAAAGTCAAACGTGTGCACACTGGTCGTAAGCATGGGAAAGTCTACGACATGAACACAAAGCTTGCAATTGGTAAGTTGTGTTTTTGAAAATTATATTTCAAAATAACTGTATTTTATCAATTAACCCTTTACTTCATAGAACTGGTTTGCAATGGTTATTTTAATATTCATTCTAAATTTTTAATATTTTTGTGACAAAGCTAGCCCTTTCAAACTCACAATAAGCTGAAGCTTAAATTACACAGGTCAGGATACAATTTACCACAGAGTTGTATATAGGGTAGAAAACCACTATATTTTTCAGGTATCAAAGACAATTCACCCACCAGACATTTCGACCCACATTATTGGAAAAATGACACAGACAATTCACCCCCCATTTCTTTAATTTAAATTTTGATGAAAGTTATCTTAAAATTAGAATATGCAATAAACAAATTTCTTGTGTTTCTTTACATAATTAAAATTCATAAAATATTTAGTCATATTTAAATTAATTATTATAATTTATTACTTCAAAATAATATTTGTTACTATGTGTTAATATTTTTACATATTATTTTACATAAAAACTGTAAAAATTACAAATTCACCATAAATTTGTTTTAATTTGAGCCGTGTCACGACAAAACCAACATAATGGGTTTGCGACCAGCATGGATCAGCTTCTTTACATGTAATAGAGTTGGTAAGCGAACAGCATGGATCCTGATCAGACTGCGCGGATGCGCAGGCTGGTCTGGATCCATGCTGGTCGCAAACCCATTATGTTGGTTTTGTCATGACGCGGCTCATTTGTTTAAGTGCTATCAAACAACTATATTAATATAAGATGACATATCAAAGATATTAACATGTGATAATCATTTGCTCTTAAATCTCTTTCATTCTAACAACTCATTGGATGCTTATGACACATTATCTACAAATAAATTTTGTGCACGCGCGACCAATTAAATTTTTTTGAGAAGCCATTCAAGACATGCTTTCTTGTGAAATATGACATTTCGAGTGGATGTTTGTATACTTTTAATAGCCCTTTATCCCTTAACACTTTTTTATTTCATCCTTAATTGATTATAAAGCAAGGTGTTGAAAGAGTGGATGTAGAATAAACAATATGTTTTTCAGCACTTTAAGATAATGGATAATTAAATTATTCCTGCAGACAGTTGTACATGTTTGCATTATATAAACAATAAAAATATCAAGACTATTAAATAAAAATAAATATCTTTATTTCCTCCAAAAGAAATGACTTTTTGATTTTTGTAACAATAAACATGAGGGGTGAATTGTCTTATCTATTTTGGGGGGTTAACTGTCTTGAGGGTTGAGTTGTCTTGGTTTTTTGGGGGTGAATCGTCTGGGGGGTAGGTTGTCTTGTTTCCATCTATACATGTAGATGTAAATATGAGAGCAAATATGATATGAAGGAAATGCTTTACATTGACGAATAAAGTGTTTATAAGAGTTTTGGAATTAACATATACTGGGTTGTTTGAGATTACTTATTTTCATATTTTTCTTACTAAAGTCACTCTGCAAACATAGTTAAGTGTGTAATATACAAATGAGCCGTGACACGACAAAACAAACATAACGGGCTTGCGACCAGCATGGATCCAGACCAGCCTGTGCATCTGTGCAGTCTGATCAGGATCCATGTTGTTCGCTATCAGTTTCTCTACTTGTAATAGAGTTGGTATTAGCCAAACGCATGGATCCTGATCAGTCTGCGTGGATGCTCATGCTGGTCGCAAACGCATTATGTTGGTTTTGTCATGACGCGGCTCAAATGGTCTACGCTTCTTGTGGCGTCTTCCCGATTTGTTTCCGTACAGCTGCCATATTTGTTTACATGTTCTTCAGTTCATAGCCCCTGTCTTTTATGGAAAGCAGGGTTTTGATGAATTTTTGGCACCTTTCCTATGGAAATCAATTGGAATCATAAGAGTAAAGGCAATTTAACAATGTATTGTCCACCTTTGTCCTAAATTATCATTATTTCAGTGTTTTAAATAGTTTTTACTGCTAGTGCTAGAAATGTATTTTTGTACTATTTAATATTGTCTGCAAAATGGCCAATCTTCTACCAAACTTGGGGTACTTGTACATGGTGTAAAGGTTACAGGTCAGGTACAAAAAGCACACACAAACTCCCAGGGTTTTTCCACTTAAATGCATAAAGCGTACACAAATAGAAGTATTGGTCAAGCATCAGGCTGGTAGAGCACTGTGAGGTACTGTGACTCTAGCTCTGGGGAATTCACCTAATGCCTGGGAGTGTAATAACGAACTCTATTTTTTTGGCCTTATTTAAATAAAAATAAAATAAACAATGTTATTTCTTTGTAATAAATAAAAAGTTTTTTGTTCTCCTTTTAAAAATACCATTATATACTTTTTTATTTACCCCAAAATAAATGGAAGGCCAGCTTCCCTAACCTGTGAAAATAGCCCTGCCTAAATGAAGCCAGTGCTACATGTACAGTCTAGTCAACAGTATAGTTGTTGTTTTTTTCCCCCACCAGAATGATTTTTGAATACACGTGTTTATATCACATGGCGTCTTTAAGACAATATTCAGGTATCATGATGATATAGCCCATACACTCCAAATTTATCATAAAACTGTGGCATTAATCAATGGTTAGTGCACATTTGCCATGTTTGAAAATGAGCTATTATTAGTATTGACTATTCATTTAATTAATCAAGATAATAATAAATATGTATTAACCTTATGCAAACCTTGTCGCACAGGCCTTGTTATAGAATAAAAAGAAGCAAAGCTGTCATTATTATTCAAAGTACCATTTAGTTTGAAATACCCAATTTATTAATTGCTTAGTGTTATTTCAGTTGTTTAATTTAGTACATAATTATACAATTTTTATTAACCAGGTTTTCCGAAGGTTATTAGATTGAGGTATGTCGGCGGGCGGGCGGATGGGCGGGCGGGCGTAAACAATTTCTTCTGTGCGCAACTCCTCCTACATTTCTCAACAGATTTTGACCAAACTTTCACAGAAGCTTTGTCATCAAGTGCCCTGGCGCATATTGTCGGGGTTTTGCTATTAGATAATATTTGACCTAATTATGGCCCTTTGTTTTTTTTCCTTATATAAAATATATAGTGAACAATTTCTTCTGTGCGCAACTCCTCCTACATTTCTCAACGGATTTTGACCAAACTTTCTCAGAAGCTTTGTCATCAAGTGCCCTGACACATATTGCCAGGGTTTTGCAATTGGTATATATTTGACCTAATTATGGCCCTTTGTTTTTTTTCCTTATATAGAATATATAGTGAACAATTTCTTCTGTGCACAACTCCTCCTACATTTCTCAACGGATTTTGACCAAACTTTCTTAGAAGCTTTGTTATCAAGTGCCCTGGCGCATATTGTCGGGGTTTTGCGATTAGATAATATTTGACCTAATTATGGCCCTTTGTTTTTTTTCCTTATATAAAATATATAGTGAACAATTTCTTCTGTGCGCAACTCCTCCTACATTTCTCAACGGATTTTGACCAAACTTTCTCAGAAGCTTTGTCATCAAGTGCCCTGACACATATTGCCAGGGTTTTGCAATTGGTATATATTTGACCTAATTATGGCCCTTTGTTTTTTTTCCTTATATAGAATATATAGTGAACAATTTCTTCTGTGCACAACTCCTACATTTCTCAACGGATTTTGACCAAACTTTCTTAGAAGCTTTGTTATCAAGTGCCCTGGCACATATTGTCGGGGTTTTGCGATTAGATAATATTTGACCGAATTATGGCCCTTTGTTTTTTTTCCTTATATAAAATATATAGTGAACAATTTCTTCTGTGCGCAACTCCTCCTACATTTCTCAACGGATTTTGACCAAACTTTCTCAGAAGCTTTGTCATCAAGTGCCCTGTCACATATTGCCAGGGTTTTGCAATTGGTATATATTTGACCTAATTATGGCCCTTTGTATATTTTTTCCTTATACAGAATATATAGAGAACAATTTCTTCTGTGCTCAACTCCTCCTACATTTCTCAACGGATTTTGACCAAACTTTCTTAGAAGCTTTGTTATCAAGTGCCTGGCACATATTGTCAGGGTTTTGTGATTGGATAATATTTGACCGAATTATGGCCCTTTGTATATTTTTTTATATATAGTGAACAATTTGTACAGTGCGCAACTTCTCCTACATTTCTCAATGGATTTTGACCAAACTTTCACAGAAGCTTTGTCAAGTGCCCTGGCGCTCACTAAATTCCCATGTTTCTACCAAGACATCATTCAAGTATTTTTTTAAAATTGTGAACATACTTTTCTTGATATCGCACAAAACACCACACGCCAATATTGTTGACAAAAGAAAATGACAAGAGACACAAAAATGCAAAAATTAAGCAAAAATAAAGTACTGTTTACCTTTCTAAAACATTTGGGAAAAAAAGGCGAATAGACAACATAAAATTTCTCAATCATTTTTGTTTGAGGAATATTAAAAAAGCCATAATTCCTCCTAAAAGTTCAATTAAAAACAAATGCCCCTTCATGACAAAGCTTCTGTGAAATATTTTGCTGAAAACCTGGTTGCATCGCATTGCGATGTTCCTTGTTTTTCATTTTTTCAGCTATGGCACATTCTGGAGTTGGTGTTAGACAGATAAACAGTATTTTATCTGCATTAAACATTCCACCTGTCAACCATTCCTTGCTTGTTAGGAGGTAGGTACATGTACTGTATGAAATGTAACTTAGTTTTTGTTGACTTATGTGGATGTTAAATACTTACATTGCTTTTATGCTACCAATAACATCTGAATTTTTTTCAGAGCATCTGCTTGTTTGATATTATAAAAAAGTCATAGGAAGATTTCCTTAGGACCAAAGAGAGCTGGGCATAGTAGAATCTTTTTTTAGTGCAGTACTTTTACACAAATATATGCCCATTCAAGCCTTTTCAGATTTAAGATTGTTTTTTATGGCTACTTCTCAGGAAGCAACCAATGACTGGAACAGTTCCAGTGGAACTCATTGGATATTTATAGGAAACATAACTCTACCAAGAGGAACTGTTCATATTAATATGACTGTATCATGATCTGATCCACTGAATTTTTTTAAAAGATATGCAAGTTTTATACATTTTTTAGCTGTAATTTTTGTCCAGTCCAGTTTTATACATTTCTAACTGTAAATTTTGCCCAGACTATTACAGGCAACCACTTACAGAAAATTAACCACCATATTATAGTACATGTATACAACATGTATAAGTAAACAAGTATACATGCAAATATTAATCACAATGAACAGTAATAATTTTGTACAGTTTACTAATCTCCTGTGTGTTTAATTTGGGGAGCATCCTTTGTTTCCATCCTGCTACACAGGTTTAATAGTAGTAGTGTTGAAATGAATCATTTTAGCTGCACATATATTACTTATAACATTGGTAGTTAATGTTATTATGTCCTTTATTCAAATTATGAAAATAAACAAATTATTCTTTTCAACATAGTTGCTTTAACATAAAAACATTTTTATTTTCAGACAGAATGAAGCTGGACAGGCATTAGAGGATGTTGCCAAAGCCAGAACTGAGAAGTATTTGCAACAGGAAGTTAACTTGAATTGAGAGTAAGAAATTAATTGTTACACAGTTAACTTCCTGTTAATTTCTCCAATGCCTATAAGTTGACTGTAACCAGACATTCATTACCCTTGACTGGTCAAATTATTTTAAATTATCTTATTCTTGCTGTAACTGGCTATAATTTTGTTATTTGTGAATGTATTGACTTCATATTCAGAAACAGCATCATTCAGGAAAAAACCTTGATGTTTATTTAACTGTACTTTACTGACATATAAATGACCTTGACATTAAAGGTTAAATTACTGAATTTCAGCTATGTCATTTATTTATGAATTTGATTTCTCTAAAACATTTTTTTATTATAATAAGCATTGTCCATGTATGGTTATGGCTCTTGTATAGTTTCTAAACAATAAAGTTAGGTTGCAGCTCACATAACTATGATTTTAAGTTAAACCTTTTGTTCTTCTTACATTTCAGAATTCACTGATTTTATATGTTATGAAACATGTTTTATATAAGCTATCAATTTCAAGTATTGCTATGAGTTTACGTTTTTTTCGATGTAGGCAGAAAAATGAAATTGAAGTCAGTGTGGATGCTGGGTGGCAGAAAAGAGGGAGTGGGAAGGCATATGGTAGTTTTTCAGGTAGGCATTCCAAAATACAATATAACAAAATTACTTGTGATATGAAAAAAGTCAACAGTCTGAGTACCAGAAGTTTTGAATTGTAGCACTTTGTTGATTTGTCTTTTAAGGTTGACTGTTTTGACTGTTGACAAGGGTGTAGGCCTAACAATTTCTTGTTATATAAAGCATAATTGAATGAGTATAAGTTCAATACTGAATTTATTGTTGAATAAAATTACATTATGCAAGCCTGTCGCAAGCATTATTATGCTCCCCGAAAAATTTCGGGGGAGCATATAGTCGGCGCCTTGTCTGTCTGTCCGTCCGTCTGTCTGTCCATCCGTTGTCTTGTCCGGAGCATAACTTGAAAACCCTTGGAGATAATTTGTTGAAACTTCATACAGTGGTAGAGGGCATTGAGGGGGAGTGCAGTGTCAAAGAACCATAACTCTATTTTGCCATATTTTTGAATTATCTCCCCTTATAGAAAAATCTTGTCAGGGGGGGCGGGGGAATGGGCCGGGGCATAACTCTAAAACTATAAGAGTTATCAACATGAAACTTTGTAGGTGAATAGATCTCAATGAGTAGATGTGCAGTGCATAAGAACAATTACTCTTTTTGTCCTAATTTTGGAGTTATTGCCCTTTGTTTATTTTAACACTTTGAACTTTGTCCGGAACATAACTCTAAAACTATAAGAGATATCAAAAAAGTCGCTGACTTGAGATCACAGGTCCCTCACCACTGTAGGTTCGATCCTCACTCGGGTCGAAATCTTTCATGTGAGGAAGCCATCCAGCTGGCTTACGGAAGGTCGGTGGTTCTACCCAGGTGCCCGCTAATGCCTGAAATAATGCCCGGAGGGGCACCTGGGGTCTTCCTCCACCAATAAAGCTGGAAAAAATCAACGAAAAATCTCGGCGGGACGCTTTAGGATGACCCGACTTGAGTGTACGGTCGCCCATATGGGCTTTCCGGCGGCGACTTCAAATAAACGCAATTAAAAAAAAAAAAAAAAAGATATCAAGATGAAACATTGTAGGTAGATACATGTAGATCTCATTGAGTAGAGGTGCAGTGCAAAAGAACCATAACTCTGTTAAGCCTCATTTTTTAATTATCTCCTCTTTTAGAAAAATCTTGTCCAGGACATAGCTGTAAAACTATAAGAGATATCAACATGAAACATTGTAGGTAAATATATCTCAATGGGTAGATGTGCAGTGCACAAGAATCATAATACTGCCTTGACTAATTCTGGAGTTATTGCCCTTTGTTTATTTTTACTTTTTGAAGTTTCCCGGGACATAACTCGGAAATCATAAGAGATATCATCAAGAAACTTTGTAGGTTGATAGATCACATTGATAAGAAGTGCAGTGCTAAGAACAGTAACTCTGCCTTGCCTTATTTTGGAATTATTGCACTTTGAACTTTTTCCAGGGACATAACTCTGAAACTACAAGAGGTGTTCTTTCCTGTGTCCAAAACCTATTCGGGGAGCATCACCCGGCTCAAACCGGGCTCTTGTATTATTTTATTCAGAATAGGTAAACAAATTTACACATTGTTTGATAGTATGTGACAGTATGCAGCTTAATAAATATAACATAATTCTTTATAGTTTGAAATTATCTATGAGCTTAGAGCCTGGCACACAGCCAATCTTAAATATGATTGTGTTGTCTTTCATTTATATTGAAAAGCTTTTGTGACAGGGGTATATTGTGACAATGTTGCCCTTGTTAATTTGTATTTCTTATCTTTTATCACTTTCTTTGTCTATTTCAGAACGAACATCACATATTACTCAGATAGCAGCTGTACATGATTCCAGTACATTTTCTACATATGTAATGCCACAAAGGAAAATGTCACAAAAGGCAAAAGAAGTGACTGGTTTGTCCATAGCTGGCCAGTCCATGTTCTACAAAGGCAAACCAATTGATTACATGTGTATAAATGAAGCTCTAGGCAGGTTCTTTGATTTCTTGCAGAAGTGTTCCAGTTTACCAGTAATATTAGTAGGACATAACATCAAATCCTTTGACTGCAAAGTTCTCCTGCATGCTGTGTACAACTGCAATAAATACCATTACCTTCAGAAGTGTGTACAAGGTTTTATGGACAGGTTAAAATTTTTCAAAAAAACATATCCTGATCTCTTACAAGCAGAGGGCATTAGTGCGGAATTTACTTGGGAATTCATATACTGCTCACAATGCACAAGAAGATGTTATTGCGTTGCAGACTTTGGTAAATTCTGTGCATTCAGATGAAAATGTTAAAACAGAACTGTCATTTAGTTTTAAAAAAAGCAGTTCAATCATATGAATATGCCTGCAATATCTCCAGAAACATCGCGTCTTTACAATCAATAATTGATAAGAAAGTTATCAGCAAGGGTATTGCAAGGTTGATTGCTGGAAGTGGTCTCAAGTTTTGCCATTTATGTATTGTATATAAACGTAACGGAACTGATGGTTTGAGAAGGCTATTGTCAGAGGTGTCTTATGGTAAAGTTCGAGTAACAAAATCTGAAAGAATAATTACAGATGTTGCTGACTATATCCATCTCATTTATAGTAAATGAAATTCTTGAACATTTACAAAATCTACTTACAAGGATTATACTATTTATTTCCTGAAGGATATTGGGCATTTTTTGTTGTCAGTGTCTAATGTGACATTTAGTGAATTCTGTCAAAACACTGTGATCATTATATTCTATTTAAAGTTTTTCCACTTTGTTAAGGGCGCATATTATAAGGATCTTACACAGACTGTCGGTACAGACTGGAATATCTAGCTCGAGGGTTATTTTTCTGCTACGTTTTGTATTTTTAGGCCTCAGTACCATCAATATATTTAGGTATGACTTAAAGACAAAAAACAGACTGATGTGCAAATAGACATACCTATAAGTGCAATAAGTTTTTTTCTGCCATACATATAGCCATCTTTCTGCTAAGTTGAAGAACAGATAGTTTAAATGCATAAAAATCTTTCTCCCTACATCAAAGCTACTTTTTCGCTAAGTTGCGAATTTTTAGGCCTTTTTAGCTATTGAGATATTTACGGTAGGTGTGACAATAAGGGAGACAAAAAGACTGACAGACGGACAAATAGCCTTACAATATACATCATTTCTCCATGCCACAATTAAAAGAGAAATATGCTGCCTATAAGCAGTCTTGATTATTTTTTTGTGAAAAGTGATTTTTATGCTAAAAAGTGGGTGGGGTATACTTTAATTATGTCAGTAAGAAGCAAAAATTAAAATTGAAACATATATTTGACTGTTGTTATGGTTGTAATATTTAAATGTAACAACAATTTTAACTGATATAATCCAAATGTTAAGTAAAACTCTTATTTGGATGGTAAAGTTAAATTGTCTCACCTTTAAATAAGTAAATTTTGTAAATAAAAGTGCTACTCTTTTAGTCTGCATAATGAAAAAATTTCCACGGTGACATATCAATTTGATTATTTAAAACTTTTGGTAAAGTCATTGTCCACATCATACTTTAAGAACACGCATATAAAAATAGTTTTTTAAGAAAAAAATGAGATTTTTTAAATACTACCCATATACGGAAAACAGTGTTTTTAATAGTTATAGCAGATACAGATTATTTAATTTTGTTGATGAATTTTTCAAACATTCTACCAGTTTTATGATCTATAATCTGTTTAATAGTGTAAACTATTGTATAAAGCTGTGAAATAAATCTGTACCAGTTCCAGTTGTGGTATTTTAGTTGAATCAGTCAAAAATATATAAATATACCCTAATATGAAGGACTGAACAATTTTTCAAGCCTTGCCATTACGGTAGTTTGACAAAACATGGCATATCTAAAAAAAAATCACGGTGACCCATCTTTTTCTTTGCATATTTTTCAATGATATGAAATAGTCTCTCAGCATGAGAAATACTAAGACAATCAAAACATTTTACAAAATTAATATAAACGCTCCTACATCCTTAAGATCTCAATGTAGTTAGAATGTAAAAAAGGTAAGGTTGGAAGATGGAAAATTTATTGTTTGGAGTAAATATGATATTCGTATATATATATATCTCAGTAAAATGAGAAAATTACAATATTTTCATGAGCACAATTGAAAGTATGAAACTAATTATAAAGTTGTCCGCAGCTAAACCTAATTATTGTGGATCAGGCCTTTCTTCGGTTTTAACATTTCATATCATATACGACCAGCATTCAAATTTTGTTTATTTAACTGTACAGCTTAGTTACAAGAAAGACAAAACAATTTTAGTATACATGTAACTATGTGTACAGTATGATGGTGCTGAAACACAAGTGTCACGATTTATTTTAACTGTGTCCTTTACATTGGTATGGGTGTACCACTTGTAAGCTTATTTTGTTGTCCTCTTTGCTTTATAGGAAGGATCTATCAAAGTTTGATTACCTAACTCAGTGTATAAAGAAAGGACTTCGTCTTCACTGCCCTGTTTTCTTTATACAACGCCAAGTCACAGAAGATATTGAATTGGAAGGCTACAAAATACCTGCAGGCACCAGTATAGCTCTGGATATTTACAATTTACATCACAACCCATCTGTATGGGGGGAAGACAGGAATGAATTTAAACCTGAACGCTTCTCTCCTGACAAAGTGAAAGATATGGATCCATTTGCTTTTCTTCCATTTAGTGCCGGACAAAGGTTTTACACTTTGCTTTGATATTATAAATTTTTATTAGAAATTTGGATTCCTCTTCTCTAGGAAGCTATCTAGCTAAGCTTACAACATGTCTGTGGTGCTACTCAGGTGTCAGTTTGTGCCTAAAAAGATTGAAAGGCACTACATCACCTTTACGGTCTAAATTTTACCAGTTCATGTTAAATGTTGAATTCTGCTTAAGCCGGTGCTAGGGGGCGTGGACGGTAGTTTGCACTTGACAGTACCGTCCATGAACAGGCTCAATCAACCTGAGCCTGCAACATTTTCAATTTTGCCGCGTTGGGCTATCTTTAGGGATTCTTATTTCACTCTATTTTGTGTGACGTAAACCGCAACCAAACGAAATACTTAATAACAGATATTTTTTGTAATTATGAAATATATGCTAGCATCATTTTGGTTCCTTGTAAATTTATATGATATTATTTGTACTGTTCCTCCTCTTGTAAGTTTCTTTTTATTAAATGTAGCTTTTAGCCCTATTTCTGTGAACTCGTCCAGCTTCCATTTTTGGAAGTGATCATTATCAAGTTTAGGGATATCAAGATGAAAATCTGAAGTTGATAAAACCTTGTTGGATTGCACAGTATACAAGTATATGTATGTGTTTGTAACTACTTTTTCAGGAATTGTATTGGTCAGAACTTTGCCATGAATGAGATCAAAGTTATGGTTGCAAGACTTATACACAGGTATTTTCTTAATCTTTAATTTAGCAGCATATCACCAGATTCATGCTTATTTTCATGAAAATTTTGAAAATGTATTTAAAAGTTAAATATTGTGAAGTGCAAAAATAAGAAAGTAAAGTTAAAACATTGAAAACGGCACTAACAATCCAAATAATTTACCCAAACAGGTCAAGATATACAAAAATAGCCCTTACTGCAGTAGTAGAAAGATGGTGATATATACTAAAAAATCAGTTTTTAATGGCTTATAATATGTAAATTGTTACTTGAATCTTTTGACTTTTCTTAAGATTTTAATATATTTTTATTAAAATTTGACTAATCTTAGGGCATGCAGCTTTATAATATTATATTCCCCGATTATTACTGATTATTACTATCATTAACTAATACATGTATGTATAATACTTATTTTGCCATGTGTTCAGAAATCATTGCAAAAATGTTCAATAACAATGCATGTTATTAGCTAAGATGTTAACATTTAACATAGTCATGTTATAAAGATTTTAAACAGATAACATTGCTAGGTATAAGTATTATATATAGCCCAATGCTATTAGGCAAGTGTGGTATAGCAAACAACCTTTTATACATGGTAATATAACCTGTCAAAAGATCTTGTAAGGATTATAATTTCATATTTTTCCTTTTATTCAGTTTTAAACATACACAATGATGCATGTTTAGAATTACTTAACATTTCTAAAATAAGGTACATGTACTTCAAATTTAGATGTTTATAGATAATATATAAAAACATTTTAGTCTGTATTCTTAGCTCAATAAGAGGATCATCAAATTATTAATAAACGGTTTCAAATAAAAAAAATTATGTTTAAAACTTTTTACATTATAATTTGATTTAGAGTGTATTTTTTTTATATTTTTCTAATTAAGGTACACGTTTACATGTAAGACTGGACATGTTGTGAAGCGGCGTCTATCTGTGGTGATGAGAACAGAGGATGGAATTTGGCTAAATGCTAAAAGAAGAAGTTAGGAAATGGAAAATTTTGAATTTATAGTTATCTGTGTTTGACCATTGACGAAATATCTGTGATTTTTTTTATTTTTTAGACAATCTTGAACAAATTTTCATAAATACTCTTAATATATGATTGTGTACATATATGTGATTACATGACATGTGAAAGCGACGTTCATATGCATCAAATCTATGCAGTTAATATATATGCTTACCTTAGAACATAGTGCTCTTGCGACATTTTTAGATTGATATCTTTGCTTGTAATTCAAACTTACTTGTCTTTGTAATAACAGTTCTGTATTTTTGTTCCGATGTTCCAATGTTCAATAGTGTCATGACTCAGGTACTTACATTGCCGTTGTTGTCATTTTTTAAGTTTTTTATTTTGGTCATTCATTAGCACGTCAGCTCCCGAGTCCTACCAAGGAATTTGTCAAGCTAGAACGCTATCGAGCTAAGTTATAGAATGTCGGTAGTCATACTCAGTACTCATGTGCCTGCCTGTTCGTACCTGAAATTGTGCACAGAGGCGCATTTTAAGGCATCCTCTACCAGTTGAGCCGAAATATTATCATATGACCTTCTCAGTGTTGGCGCGATTATAGAACCAGTAAACATAGCTTCAATACTAACAAAGTTACTACATTTAACTTTAATTAAGGATTCATATCAAAGAGTTCTTATTGAAATCACCCATTTCAGATAAAAAGGTCAATGATTAAGGTCACTTTGACTTTCAACAACAAATATATGGTGACTTCTTCTGACTTCAAAGTTGGTATGCATGCTTCTTTCAATGACCCGAAGTGCAGTACATAAGAATCGTCACTCTGCAATTCTTAATTGTTGAGTTATTGCTCTTTGTTAATTTTCATATTTCATTTTTGTCAGGGCCATTTCTCATAAACTAAAGCTTTGGACATGACACTACATTGGATGATAGTACTCTGTTCTCCATGATTTTTGAGTTATTGCCCTTAGTTTTTTAGCTCACCTGTCACAAAGTGACAGGGTGAGCTTTTGTGATCGCTTTTCGTCCGGCGTCCGTCCGTCCGTCCGGCCGTAAACTTTTACTTTAAATGACATCTCCTCATAAACCACTAAGCCAATTTCATCCAAACTTCACAGGAATGTTCCTTTGGTGGTCAACTTTAAAAATTGTTCAAAGAATTTAATTCCATGCAGAACTCTGGTTGCCATGGCAACCGAAAGAAAAAACTTTAAATATCTTCTTTTAAAAAACCAAAAGAGCTAGAGCTTAGATATTTGGCATGAAACATCTTCTAGTGAGTGTCTACCAAGTTTGTTCAAATAAAAGCCCTGGGGTCAAAATTGGCCCCGCCCCGGGGGGTTATTGATTTTCCCTATATGCATATATTAAAAACTTAAAAAATCTTCTTTTAAAAGACCAAAAGAGCTACAGCTAAGATATTTAGCATGAAACATGTACTAATAGGTGTCTACCAAGTTTGTTCAAATAAAAGCCCTGGGGTCAAAATTGGCCCCACCCCAGGGGGGTCATTGATTTTCCCTATATGCATATAGTAAAAACTTAAAAAATCTTCTTTTAAAAGACCAAAAGAGTTAAAGCTAAGATATTTAGCATGAAACATGTTCTAATAAGTGTCTACCAAGTTTGTTCAAATAAAAGCCCTTGGGTCAAAATTGGCCCCGCCCCGGGGGGTCATTGATTTTCCCTATATACATATAGTAAAAACTTAAAAAATCTTTTTTAAAAAACCATAAGAGCTAGAGCTTAGTTATTTGGCGTGAAACATCTTCTAGTGAGTGTCTACCAAGTTTGTTCAAATAAAAGCCCTGGGGTCAAAATTGGCCCCGCCCCGGGGGGTCATTGATTTTCCCTATATACATATAGTAAAAACTTAAAAAACTTCTTTTAAAGAACCAAAAGAGCTACAGCTAAGATATTTAGCATGAAACATGTTCTAATGGGTGTCTACCTTGTTTGTTCAAATAAAAGCCCTGGGGTCAAAATTGGCCCCGCCCCGGGGGGTCATTCATTTTCCCTATATACATATAGTAAAAACTTAAAAAATCTTCTTTTAAAGAACTCAAAGAGCTATGGCTAAGATATTTAGCATCAAACATGTTCTAATAGGTGTCTACCAAGTTTGTTCAAATAAAAGCCCTTGGGTCAAAATTGGCCCCGCCCCAGGGGGGTCATTGATTTTCCCTATATGCATATAGTAAAAACTTAAGAAATCTTCTTTTAAAGAACCAAAAGAGCTAGAGCTAAGATTTTTAGCATGAAACATGTTCTAATAAGTGTCTACCAAGTTTGTTCAAATAAAAGCCCTGGGGTCAAAATTGGCCCCGCCCCGGGGGGTCATTGATTTTCCCTATATGCATATAGTAAAAACTTAAGAAATCTTCTTTTAAAGAACCAAAAGATCTAGAGCTAAGATATTTAGCATGAAACATGTTCTAATGGGTGTCTACCAAGTTTGTTTAAATAAAAGCCCTGGGGTCAAAATTGGCCCCGCCCCGGGGGGTCATTGATTTTCCCTATATGCATATAGTAAAAACTTAAAAAATCTTCTTTTAAAGAACTCAAAGAGCTATGGCTAAGATATTGAGCATCAAACATGTTCTACTAGGTGTCTACCAAGTTTGTTCAAATAAAAGCCCTGGGGTCAAAATTGGCCCCACCCCAGGGGGTCATTGATTTCCCTATATGCATATAATAAAAACTTAAAAAACCTTCTTTTAAAGAACCAAAAGAGTTAAAGCTAAGATATTTAGCATGAAACATGTTCTAATAAGTGTCTACCAAGTTTGTTCAAATAAAAGCCCTGGGGTCAAAATTGGCCCCGCCCCGGGGGATCATTGATTTTCCCTATATGCATATAGTAAAAACTTAAAAAATCTTCTTTTAAAGAACTCAAAGAGCTATGGCTAAGACATGTAGCATCAAACATGTTCTAATAGGTGTCTACCAAGTTTGTTCAAATAAAAGCCCTGGGTCAAAATTGGCACCACCCCGGGGGGTCATTGATTTTCCTTATATGTGTATAGCAAAAACTTAAAAAATCTTCTTTGAAAAAACCCAAATAGCTAGAGTTAAGATATTAAGCATGAAACATCTTTTAGTGAGTGTCTACAAAGTTTGTTCAAATAAAAGACCTGGGGTCAAAATTGGCCCCGCCCCGGGGGTCATTGATTTTTTTTATATGTGTATAGCAAAAACTTAAAAATCTTCTTTGAAAAAACCCAAATAGCTAGAGTTTAGATATTAAGCATGAAACATCTTCTAGTAAGTGTCTACAAAGTTTGTTCAAATAAAAGCCCTGGGGTCAAAACTGGCCCGGCCCCAGGGGTGTCATGTTTTTTAACTATATGTGTATAGTAAAAACTTTAAAAAAATCTTCTTTCAAAAAGCCCAATGAGCTAGAGCTTAGATGTTTAGCATGAAACATCTTCTTATGGGTGTCTACCGAGTTTGTGCAAATAAAAGCCCTTGGGTTAAATTGGCCCTGCAACGTTGGGGGGGGGGTGGGGGGCCTATATACAGGTGAGCGACCTCAGGGCCATCATGGCCCTCTTGTTTACTTTATTTTTGTTATTGCCCATTGTACATTTTCATATTTCATTTTTGTCCGGGCCATTTCAACTAAACTATAAGAGCTGTGGACTTGTAACTTCGTAGGATGATAGATCTCATTAAGAAGTAGTGCAATGCTCAAGAAATTGTACTTTGCACTTCGTGATTTTTAGTTATTGCCCTTTGTCACTTTTCTTACTAAGTAAGCTTGTCCAAAGCATAACTTGGCCTCTATAAGTTTGATTGACTCTAAATTATGTATATAAGCTTTTTTCATGTACCTTAAGTGCAGTGCTTAAGAATCCATCACAGAGTCCTCCATTTGATCTGTATTGATCTGGTATTTTTGATAATATAACTGTTACAGTTTTATTAATTCTGATGTAACATTGTTACAATCAGTTCAGATGCCACTAAAGTTAAAGGTACATGTACATTGTAAGAGCAGTGTTTATAAACAACCTATATTTAAGGAGAAAGTGCCTAAAATACGGCTATTCTGTTTATAAGGCGACACATCCTACTCGGGGAGTTATCGTTTATTTTATTTCATTCAAACTTGTACGAAAACTTTTAAATATTACAGTACTTACCAATCATGTAAGATCTAAGGTTCCGGTCTGTAAATGGGTTTGAATAGGTATATGTTACATAAATATTTTGCACAATCTTAAATTTCAATGTTAAGTTTCCAATATTTGGTGTATATAGATCTATGCATTTACAACAGATCTCTAGTTTCCTCAAAAATATCTTTGCTGTGGCTAGTGACAGGTATTTAATTACAATAACCCTCTAAACATGATACTGCTAATATCATCATCCTAGATCATCAAGATTATAGCCTGAGCTTGAGAAAAACATTTATAGAATTAAACACAACCGGGATATTCGTTCCCTGTTTTAAGAGGTCCATATGTTTGTTGTTTTTTTAAAATCAATTCATAATACAGACTTTGTTATAAGACAAAAGGGATCAATAATTCTTAAGATTAGATTAAGTTAAGTAAGTTATTGTTATCGCATATAACTTATTATGAAAATAACTGTGTTCTTTAGAGCTGTGTTTTACACATATATTATATTGTATCCCAAAATATCCTTAAAAATAAGAAATTACATTTCAACTGACATGACTGATGCATTTAATTAATTACAAAATGTACAAGTTTTAATTTTTGTCTGTAAAATGTTTATTCATTTTTAATGATAATGAACATCAGAAAACTGCTTTAAACTTTAACAGCTTTGTTGTAATGAAAGTGTTTGCCATTTATAAATGATACATACCAGTTAATGTCTATACAAGATATTCGTTCTGCAGTAAAAAGGAACGGCTGCATACGTGAACATGTGTGTGATTGTAATTGTTAGAATATGTATATTTAGAACATGTAGAATCAAACTTTATCCTTCAGGTGTAGATTTCAGGGCCACAGATAAAATAAGTACATTGTAGGTCACAGCTCATTTCAAAAGACATGTTAATGAAAAACTAAGTTACAAGCTCATGAGATATAGGTCTCTGAAGTACATGCGAAAAACTGTATAGTTACCTAAAACAAATCATTTACCTTTTCTGGTATCAATTTTATCTGCTAAAAATAGACATTTCTTATTACCTTAATGAGCGTATTTATTAATCATTGATATTTTATGTATGGACACTTTTCTATACGCTTGTTAAGAAGTATAGGGCATTGAAATTCAGGAAAATGATAATGGTTGATGTAGTTTCCAACTTTTATCTAACTTAAATGTATCTGTTATTTACCAACTTGTCTTGGGTACTTGAACATAATAAAAGTACAGGTATAGAATATAATAACTGCATGCTAGGATAGTTGTTGTTGACAAAAATGTTTTGTATGTCAAAATAGATAAATATAGAATCCCTAAAGAAAGCCCAACACGGCAAAATTGAAAATGTTGCAGGCTCGGTTTGATTGAGCCTGTTCATGGACGGTACTGGAAAGTGCAAGTTACCGTCCACGCCCCCTAGCACCGGCTTAAGCAGAATTCAACATTTAAACATGAAATAGTAAAATTTTGAATTTAGAAACATCCGCAGATGTGTTCATACGGCGGTTATCATGGAACCTTCAATGTGACACTTCCGTGCCATTCCATGAAAAGCGGCGTATGGTCCCCAAGTAATAAAAAGCGTGTGCCCTAAACGAGAAAACAATGGGCGGAACTAAATAAAATCAAGTTTTTATTTGTGATATTTAAAATGTGATTTCATGTTATAAATAAAAAGATAAATTATAAACTTGTAATTGTTAATATAGCCGTGGACGAGTGATTAAGGTTGCCCACTTCAAATAACTGAACTTGCCATTCACCGGGCGCTGTGGGTTCTTTAAATAAATGAGGAAACTATTCAGTTAGCATACGGTAGGTCGGTAGATCTTCTCAAATGCCTCCTTGTGACTGAAATAATGCACAAAGGAAAGTAAAGCTCGAATGGTGCCCTATGACTTAACCGTGTTTGTGTGACTTTATTCGAACAGAATAGCATTTAAATGTATTGGACAATTTAAGAAAACAAAGACCAGGAGATTTTTACCTATAATATTTATTGCTCATAGACGTATATGAAGCATATTAAACGAATTCATTTCAATTTATATTTTACTCCATACGAGGTAATTGCATCAATTTATGTGATTATATTATTTACAAAATAATTTTGTTGTCTCTTAAAACACTGAATGAGGCCAATCTATAAATCAATGAATACACTATTCTGGACGATGTTGAAGATTGTCTTTTTCTATATCTTTAAGCTAATTTAACTTTAGTCTTCCAAATTTTGAAAGATTATATCTGCTGGCAGAATATCTAAATAACAATAAGTACCTGCAGTTTATTATAAACACTTGTGATTAAGGTAGAACTGTAGGTCAACACAAATTGAAGATAAAAAACTCAACATGCAATTTTAATGATTTGTTTCTACCAACAAAACAAGCGAGATTTTACGGACACGTAAAGTGGCTGCGAAGGAATAAAATCAGCTGTGTATTGCTAATCTTTAGAAGAGCGGAATAAAATGCTACCAAGACAAATGTCTGTTTAGATATGCGCAGTTGTTTATATTAAAGGGGAAGCGTTACGGCACGAAAATTCCATTACGTCCGTTACACGGTACTAGTAGTACTTGTTTTATACTGCGCCATAACGAGTATCCTTCAGTCAATGCCGTAATGTGCCAGGTATCCGACTCCATGTGTCTTGCTTATCTAAAGACAGTGTTACTCGTAATGGTTTATCATGATGCAATGAACATCAAGTTATCATCTCCCGATTAAACGAATTAAACGATATATAAACTTTTAATAAGCAAGTGACCAACGATAAGACATCACATTTGAGCAAAAACCTAGTATATAAGACATAATGTAATGCATCAAACCCGTTACCAAATGTATCCAAAATAAAACAGTACGTGTATGACCTCACTTTACTAAATAAAAGGCGGCTATTTAAGTTTGTGAGACGCACAGCACTATCCAAATCATCTCAAAAGAAAATACAAAACTTAAAAAGATTTCTTTTTCAAAACGCAGTACCGCAGTAAATCATATGTCTTATTCAAAATTATATAAGCTATGGCTGCTTCGCAGCCGTATGGTGCTAATGCTTTAAAACAATGGCCTCATTGGAATTAAGGTCTGAACAGTAATATAATTAAATTGGCAAAATTAATATATACATGTGCACCCTGAGAATAAATATCAAAATGAAATCTTATTTTACACCAAATATGTTATTTCATTCTCTTTTCAACTGTTCTAAAAGAAAACTCGTCGTTTTCCCATTGATTACGTCCACTGAATGTTACTACGAGTTTCTCGTTCGATCTAATTGATCTCCTGATCATTGCGTATTCATTATCAGAACCTATAACACAGTTGACAAGTACTACGAGCACTGCCTGCTCAAAAGCCATCAATGTTTTAATCAAATCGTGAAATGCTAAACTTGACATCGTGACTTCAGACAAATGGACACATTGGATGTCCGTCATGCCGGTTGATAACTTCAACGACCTTCGGCCTAAATCAATGCAATGAAGCCGAAGATCTTTCAAATGAACAAGCTTCGTTATGACTCGCAGGATTTCGTCAACATCTCTTGAAGACTCAAGAAAACTACAGCGGAATCTTTCAAGCTTTGGAGCATCCGAGAGGTAGCCGAGATAAGTTGAGAGGACATTCGACTGACTGCATGGTAGTCGTCCAATACTAACTTGCTCCAGGGATGTGGCATTTATCTGTAAGTGCGACAATGATACATTGTGCAGTCTCAATGTTCTAAGATGCGAAAGTTTAGAGAGGTCAAGTGCGAAACCAGCACACTCATCTAAATGTTCATGACAGGGGATATTACCCAGTATAATTTCCCTCATGTTACTTCTTTTGGACAGAAAAAGCAGTAATTCCTCCAAATGTTTATGATCAATCATAAAGCAGTTCAGATGGATTGCCTCTAATCTCTCCATGTCCTGCAAAATGGTACACAACTTGTGAGACCACATGCTAAATTCCCCCTCGAAATGGTTAGATTGCCATCTTCGCGACAAAAAAGCCACACTTTTGAGTGTATCCACAGATCCGGAAAGCAAATGACATAATTCGACCTCAGAACATTCACCTCTTAAGTACACGTGTTCAATACCTCGAACATCATTCAGTTGAAATGACATCATTATGTCATGTAGACAAGGCGTACCTTCTAATTCAATGTTGAGAGATTTTATTTCATCCTTGTTGAAAAGAGCCAAAGATTTCAAAGCAGATATGTAGTTTTCTTCTTGGCAATCAGAGTCTATGATAAAGTCCTGTAGACATAGATTGAGTTGCTTGCCGATGTTCTTTGCATGTTCTCTGAGGCAAGCAATAAGTATACCTTGATAGCGCTTAAGTGGTTCCTCTACAGTAAAATAATCCCAAAATGACTCCGTTCTCCGATATTTTCGAGTTATATCATCATTGGAGACATACGTCACTAACTTTTTTGAGATACGTTCAGACAGACGAGTGCTCATTCCACTTAAAAAGATAAAAACATTCGACATTTCTAGAATCCTTTGTATTGATGAGCAAACTGATTGTAGTTTTGTCATCACCTCTGTCTCGTATGCAGATGTTGACACGTAGAGTGCTGCGAAGAATTCCTGAAATATCTTGTGAGTGTAGCAAACGCTTGACTTCTGACAAAGCATATATCCAGTGATTTCTGACTGTGTCAATATCCCAGACGAGAGACCAAAGCTTAAATGTTGCTGACATATAAACTCTCTGGCTTTTGAACTGTCGAACACAATGGTATTTTCCCTCGTTTCGGAGAAGAGCGTATAAAATGCCAATTTGCCTATAGCCATCAGTTCGTCTACATATTGTATGCAACTGGATAGTGAGGCCAAACATCCTGGCAAGTTGTTTATCCCTGATTGTGGCAATAAACTCAACATAGCTATTCTACGTTTGTTTCGGGAAAGTTTGAGGTCAATTATTTGACTAAAGAGCTCACATTTTGATCTTGGGAGTGGTTTGCCTTCACTGCGTATGCATACCAGATACATCAAAAGCATTGGAACTTTTTCTAACTCATCAATGTCGCTTGCAAGTTCATCTCCGTCCGGATCACTTACGTCAGAGTCAGTAGAACATTCATTACTGTTTGCATTGACCCTCAATAGTGCTTTTCTCTTCAGAATATCTTTTCCCAACTCGCTAAGCCCAATCATTTCAATTTGATGGTGAATTTGACTTCTGTTAATATCCATCATGCTAAGTTTCCATGGCCTGGACGTCGTTAAAATTGTGCATCTTTCGCGTGCCTTTCTATGAGGGACACATGTTGGTTGTATTACACAATCCGTATCATCACGATGTGTCCATTCATCTAAACCATCTAGAATTACTAGACAGTTTTCGCGGTGCAGTATTTCCTGCAGGATTTGTATTGGATACGAAGATGAATGAGAGAATTGAGAAACAATGAGTTTGAATATCATGTCGTCAACATCGCAGTGTACACGTGACTCACGTAAAGATATGAGGAAAAGGAAATCAAAGTTCCTCATAAAACCAACATCCGTGTTTTGATTGTCCTCCGAATGTGCATGATTTATATCATGAGCCTGGCACCACATCATTACAAGATATTTGCAAAATGCGGTTTTGCCAAGTCCAGCATCGGCAGTCAAATAGATTTCTTTACAATTTGAACTTTGTTTTCTGAAAACACCTTCAAGTGACTCTACTGGGTACTTTATTTCACTTCCTCCAAGCTTTGATTTCTTTACTTCAACTGAAAACATGTCTGGTAAAACATAGATATCCAAGGTCTGTGCGTCAAGCTTCTCGAACAGAGGTGAAAGTGGAATTGTGCCATTTTTAGAGCTGTTAAATAAGAGCAAGTCCTCTTTGAATACTGAAATAAAAAGTATATACCAATATACTAGTGCGTAAGGAGCTAACATTATGCATACCGTCACCTTAGGGCAATAATTGATTATCTCATGTTACATTTAGAAGGACTTATTGCGTTATTGCACTAAGGTGACGATACGTACATATTAAATAGATTTATAACTGTTTTATTTCCAAAGTTTCATTTAATAAGAACGTGTATCACAAATTATGTAACAATTTACACAAGAAGCACATCATATTTTGTGAATACCTTGATTTTATAGATTATGATTACTTTTAATGCTTGGAAAGTAAACATACATAAACTATGTACATAAAAAGGATTCTAACTATACACATAAAACTTAATTGTGCAAGGTTAAATAATAAATTGATAAAAATATTTGCATACTATTCCTGATAGTCTCGTACTGTTCGTCTGTTAACATGTGATAAGCAAGGGGGCTTAGGAAATGAACGGGCTGGATATCTCCTCTTGTAGAAGTATTGACCCTTTTTGCTGCCGTAGTTTCACTCGGAGGTTCCTGCGTTCGTTTCGTTCCTCTAGAGGGTAGTGATAATGACGCTTTTATCTCTTTGAGGGCAGATTTCATATTTTCAATACATTTCTTGCTAGTTTCCTCAACTTGTTGCAATGAGCAGTGTACCTTTTCCTCAATGAGCTTCTGAAGAACTGCAATCATGTCATTTGTAGATATCGACAAATGTTCCACCTGTAACTATAAGTATTATAGTGAGTAAAGTGAGTTTGATTCCTTTTCACCTGTTATATATCCATGCAGTACGGTTGCTAAATGAAAACATGCAGACACCATATAAATAGTTTCTCCATAATGATTTATCTTTTTAATAGCATAAATAAAAACTGAAAATTATATTGGAAATTATAATTAAGGGCATCAAAAACAAATACATTTTAATGTATACCTTCCGTATCTTTTCTATTGCTTCTTTTGTCTTTTTGTTGGTGCTCTTTGGATCTGAAGACTTGAGAAGCTTGATTAGGGCACCAAGATAGTCTTCTAGATCACTGTTTTCAACATACAGATCAGGCGAATGTCGCAATTGTTTTCCCGAGTCTTTAATCTGTGAAGCATAAAATTCTCATTTACACAACATTTAGAAATGGAAAGTTTAGTCGTAGGATAAAAAGGAACAATGTGATTAATACATTATGATAATTTAAGAGGTAAAATAACTACTGAAACAAAAATGTGCATGAATAAAGGATTAAAGCTAGAGCATACATGGCATAGTGAACAAGTTTGAATTCATCATGACAATATAAAACGTTAAAGGTGCGGTCTGAATACGTATTTAATTTAGCAGCTTAACCAATAAATCTGCTAAAATGATAAATATGTAGATATGCTAAAATAGCAACAAGACGTGATTTGGTTTGAAGATATGGAAATATTGCTTGTCTCTAAGAAAGAATAAACAAATTACACTTGTGTACGTACCAAAATGCAAAGATTCTGGTCAACGATGTCACCGAAAGCTTTGTGGTTTGTCATCACATTCAGCAGACCATTGAAGTCCATCATCTGTACTGACGTCACAGCCATGTATCCATCACGTGGCAAATAACACTTTAATATTTCACAAGGGCTTCTACACCACTGCTCTGTTTGAGTGTTTTTCCAAGACGGATTTCTATAATTGTGGCTACTCTTAATGGCATCTCTTATTTTATTGCAGATTCGGTTCTCACAAAGGCGGGGCTTTTTCTTTTCACTGTTATGGAAGGAACACTTACCAAATTTGATGTCACATATACCGTTAGTTTGACAATTTAGAACATTTTCTATAGAGCAATCAGAACAATCGATTCTGTTTCTGATTTTATGTTCGCTTACTGAAATATCTTCAAGAATGTCGCTATGAAATTTGGCAATTACAGTAAACACAAAATCTTCTAGCCCTTCTTTTGCAATATTTCCTGCATAAGTGGCTTTAATCCAATTTTGAAATCTTGTGTCCTCAAATTTTGAATTGCACCCCGCCATTGCTGAACATATGAATTAAAGTGACAAATTGTAACAGTAAAAAAGTTGTTGTTACTCATATATCCCTACAATCATGTTTACCTGAAAGAGAAAAAAGGATATCTAAACATATAAGATGATAAATGGATACATGGGAATATAAACAATCGATACATGGGATTCTGATAAAAAATAGAATTCAGTTAACTTGAATAACTAGATTAAAATTGTTTAAGATTTCAGTAACATGGAGTTACATTGTTTGAAATAAAAGCTGCATATAAAGTCTGTATGAGAATGACGTAATGTAACTTGATGTGATTCACGAGGACTAACGAGAAGTTTTTATGATAGTAACAATACAACTAACTGAAGAAAATGCACAAAGATTTCATGGTTGCGTTATGAAAGAAAACTATGACGTTATATACTAGTTGCAACATTATTTAATATCGATAAAGTTTTTAACAACATAAAACTGTTTTGTCATTTGCATATTATCAAGATAACAGTATCAGTTTTTAAAAAAGCTAGTGTAATGATTATAGATAAACTGTTTATGTATAGTTAAGAATTAACTTTTTATTAAAGCTAAAAATAATCATTATGACATAAATTTCTTATGACCAAACTTCATTAAACACAATATTTTTCATTTGTTTACTATGTAACATGATGATAATTAATTGTTATATGATATACGGTGCCTTATATGCCCATTGTGTCGTTGGTTTGTGCTGAATATAATGTGTATGTTACCATATCTGTATGTTCATACAAGTCATCATAATAAATAAATTTCTTATCTTATCTTATACATGCAAAAGCTTAATAATTTTGATTTGTAAATTACGAAATGTTCAGTATCATATAATAAGCTGATATATTAAACCGTTATTAATGATGTTATCCGGAAGTTGGCAAATGTAGTGTATTCCCATGTGATCTCGGGGTGGCATGAAATTTACCGTTATGGCTTCACGGTACACTACCAATATCAATAGAGTAACTAAAACGTTAAGGTAGTTATCGATTATTTACCAAGTTGTTAACTATAAAAGAAGATGTTGTTAGTTTGTTTGGTGTACTGTTTGTTTGTTTGTTTGTTTTCGTAAACATTTGCCATGTTCCAGAGTAACTCTTTAGGAAATATTTATATAATATCATGAACAGAACAGAAATGTATTACTTGGATTAAGCATAATAAGCCCAAAACCATATTACATATACAAATACAACATATAAAACATAAATGACATAAGCAAATATTTATTTTTTAAACAATGGTTTAGGAAATAATGAGACAGGAAATTAATCAGAAAGCATTTGAATCATATATATATAATGCTCAAAATGTGTCTACCTTTACCTAACATTATCAAATATAGCTACAATACATTTTGTTTTATATTTGAGCCTATCGATAGAATCCACAAAAAAGAAAACTGCAGTTTTAATGAAAATAGTGATTGTGACAAATGAAGGGAGAATAACTTTATCTGTAACTTTATATAACAAATATTTTAGCATTTGCTTCCCTTTAATAATTCATGTTTCCTGATGTAAATCATTTATATCAGGTTCTGAAAAAAACCTAGAATTGGAAAGATATAGATATAGATATTCGTCTAAGGAAATGAACTTGTCACCTTCATGTACTGGTCTCGTAATAAATTATACATTTGAGTTGACTGAACACAAAATACTGTTTGGAAAATATTTCAATTTATTGTGGTATGATTCATTATATTAATTGTTCTTTTTCAGTTTAAAGATGTAGTTTGTTTTATCGTGTAAATTTCATAACAATGCCTTGTATATAACAACACAAAATGAATTATTTAAAGTAGTTGAGTAATAATTCATTATTATACATAAAATAAAATAATTGTTTAATATATCACATGTAAACAAATGATCAGCTTACGAAATTTACATATAACTTTTTCGTGAATGTATAATATGATACATGCTTTCAAAAAGGCTATGATTATCAGATAGTAGTACTGTACAATAATAGCGTTGAAATTGTAAAGGGACAACTATTAAAGCACTATAACCACATCACGTTTATGTACCGGGTTTCAAAAAAGAAAACTTGTACCCATATGCAGGTGGCAAGAAAATAGTATAAGGTGTTAATCGTGAAAACGTTCCTAAAGACAATTTGCTTATGGAAATGACTTATTCACCGTAGATCATATTTATTGACAAACTATTTAAAGCCGCATGATATATTTTTTTATTGAAAATCTATTGCAAAATATCAGTATACCAAATGAGATCGCGTATGGGAAATGAGTGTACTCTTTGTTTACAAGATCGTTGGTTAACACTGAAATAGGTTAAAACGGAAAGTTAAGTTTTGGACATTCAAAATTATTATTCGCTGGCGGTCTTAAGCATAAAAAACTGACGATATAAATAATATGTCTGTACAAAATATTCTTCAGTTATGACAAAAAAAGAATAAAATAGAAACCGAGAAACATCTGCTGAAATGTGAAATAAATTCCCGCTAAGATATTATGTAAATTATGTATGTATTATCTAATGCGTTTATAAAACATTCAGTCGGTCATGCATGCTCATACAATTATGTAATCCGCACATCAATGTTGAAATGGGGGAATTTTGTGTTATTTTGTACCAAGACTAACATATATCGTTTTCTAAATCCATTTGAATATGCAACAGTTTTGCTCGACTTCTATTCACTTTATCCGACGCAATCTTTGTATGTTTTATTAACTTTGCTTTGGTTGCAAGGTGTCATGCAGTGACGCCTTTAATATAAACTATCTAATATTTCCTAATGTTTGTTTGTTTGTTTCATTTTACGCCTTTTTCCAACAGTATTTCAGTAATATAGGCGGGTAGTTTCCTAATCATCGTTCCTGGAGAGTTACACCAGTACTAGACTACGTTCCTCCGCGCTAAACTACCAAAGCATCTCCCGGGGATCGAACCCACGCCAGAGAGGTAACTGGACTCTAACCCCTCGACCACGGAGGCGGTAAAAAAAATCCTAATTACTTGCCAGTTTCGAATTTTGATAATTTACATGATGATAAATTGTAAAATATGAATATTATAATTATGTAATGTACAGTTTAAGTAAATAATTCAATGTTGTTGTTCTTCTATAAATACTCCTTAGATCAACTTGTGACTGTTTCCTATCTGTGGTTTTGTGAGAATGACAGTCCCGAATTAAGAATGGTGCTGCCCGCTGGTTAAAATATGCATGCATGATGAAGACTTCACATGTTAACTCTTTACAGCATTTAAGACATAAATTAAATTTGTCGTCATAAGAGTGCAATAACACCTCACTCTCTAAACTGATGATACACATGTATATGTCTGATAGATTATACATATCGATTGTGTTTAGAGCTATTACACTAAAATCTCACTTTAGAATCCAGTACGAAACAATGAGTGTATATGACTCGCTCAATGAAACGACGGGATTTGACACCACGCAGCCAGCAACTGCCAGCAATCCTTAGATTACTAGTATAATGTGTAATATCCTTGTTTTAAGTCGTAATAATTTTCAGATGAATGTAAATTTTCATAAACATGTATAACAACAACGATCAATATCAAAGCCTATTGACAAAAAAAAAACACGTAAAAATTTCACGCACCGTTAATAATAATGGTTTTATTGTCAGAAGGTCTATTTACGGTTTTAACTTGAAAAGCAAATATAAATGTAAGGTCATCTATCTGTATAAAACTAGGTTAACTTAATATTTTAATGGTGTATTTTATTCAATGTTAAAGGAATATTTTATATAGAAGCAGTCACTCATTTTTTTCAAATATTGTACAAATTATGGAGTATATTTTTGTGAATACAGACAAATTTTTAACTGAAAATGATATAGTTTTGTTATAAAAATCTTCTAAATATAAACAAGTTTTATACAATCTTTCAGCTTAATAACTAAAACATTCAGCTGTTTTAAAATAAAAGAAGCAGTGTGCAAATGTATATTCAAATTCATCAGTAACAACACATAAATTAAAGTGTTATCACATATATTGTTGATTAATAGGACTGGCTGATACCTTATGTTAACAAAATTTTATAATGTTCCGATAGTTCCTTCGCATTATTCACATTTTAATGGTGTGTTAAAGCTCATAAAGCTACATAAAATGAGATGTTTTCGTTAAAATTTATAAACAGTGAAATTATAATGTTTCCATAATGTTATGATTGATTTTCGAAAAAGGTTGTAACACAGAATGTCTCTTTTATTCACAACACATGAACAATGTACTTTAATAGAATAAAACGTTCTGGAACAAAATTTATAATAATGCTATTTTATGTGGGAATTTATAACCATTTAACAATAGTCCTGTACATGTGCCAGATGCTCTTAAGGAAATGTATTTCTTTCATACAGGTATTTTGGATGCATTATTTTTTCTAATTTTGTCAACTACAGGCAGAAGATATACAGCCTCCTTGCCAAACTAAATATCTTCAACGCACTATTATTCCATCTTTCAATCTGGGCAAAACCATTCATCAATTGTAGTGAAAATTTCAAAATATGCACAGGCTGAATAGTGAACAGTGAAGATTATGATCAGACGGCACGGATGCACCGGCTGAACTTATTCTGCACTGATCACACAAGTGGGGTATGTTGCCGACAGCAGGGTAAAAGAAAATGCGCTAAAAATAATTTTAGTGGACAGATTTTATGGCCGGTTTCATTTTTTTTTCCTTTTCTTTATTTCGTTTTAAAACTATTCATTTTATTTATTTATTTATTTATTTATTTATTTATTTATTTATTTATTTATTTATTTATTTATTTATTTATTTATTTATTTATTTATTTATTTATTTTTATTTATTTATTTATTTATTTATTTATTTATTTATTTATTTATTTATTTATTTATTTATTTATTTATTTTTATTTATTTATTTATTTATTTATTATCTATCCATCTATCTATTTGTTGATTGATTTATTTCCATGGCTGTTGTTTTGTTTATCAATTGATGTAATCTTAAGACATTTAAAATCCTTCAACTGTGGTATTTTATACTTGAATAAAATTGCTTGAAGCATATTCATAACAATAAGAAATCTTACAAGAATCATTACTGATTCTTTGTTAATCGTGCGTGCATGTCATTAATTGAAATCAAGCAATTACATCTAATTTAAAACGGGAATGAATTTATAACACGGAGTTAACTTATGCAGTTTGTAGAAAAATGAAAAGAGGCGACTAACCACAGTGACATTATATGTAGGTGATGATGGCAATCGATTGTTCATAACCGTGAACATTTTCACCATTATTGAAAAGTCCCGCTGAATATCATGCAGTCATCAATAAAAAAGTGATATGGTAATTAAATGTACTTACTATAATATGAAAACAATATCCCATTTGTAACTGAAATATTTAATATCCATAGTAGTTATTTCCGATATTTATATATTATTATACGTTTGTAATGTATCATTACGTGTTTCTATATTTAGGTATATAATTAACAAAGTCGCTCTACTTGTATAAAGGGAAATAATAAAGTATTGAACGAAATACTTGTTGAAAAAGTACGCGCTAAAAATAATTAATGATACACATTTCCGAAGACAGGGGAGAGAAGATGTTGTATTTTTCAAAAAAGATAAACGTAACAAAGCAAAACCGTTAAAGAAATTTAAAAAAAGTGAACTATTTGTTTTATTCAACGTATATGTTTTCGTTTTATTGGCCTTTCTACGAATGGCTTACTCCTAATAGTACAAATCTAGAAAATCCATACAACTCGGTGTGGCTGCTGGAATTCCTTTCTTTTGTGCGTGTGGGGGGGGGGGGGTGGGGAGTAACGTTCAGAATATACCCTTGCCATCAATTAAACGTTAAATTATGAGCAAAAAGTCGTTGAAGACTGATCAATCGTTACACTTAAGATCAAAATAGGGTCATTTTTAACGGTTAGTTACGTCTGCTATAATAACCTCACTTTTACTTTTAATCGTAACACCTCGGCTATTATTCATAATAACCTCACACTTAATACGGATTTAACGTAGTTCTACCACGTGGTTTTAGATGTAAAAAAGACAGCGATTTACTTTGCATAATGTATATCGAGTGTACATTTTTGACATTAAAAGGAAAATAAGTCTATTTCATTAAAATTATTATTGAATGTATATCTGGCAATCATAATCAATTTAAAGATGCCACTGATGTACAATTATAAACAAATCTTTATGAGGACTTTTACTCGATTTATTGCAATAAACTTAGTCAACAACTTCTGGCATTGAATTACTATTTTTTACATGTTTAGTTTGTTATTCATTTTTATAGCGTAGGTTAGACCGAAAAACTCTTTCCGTCTGTTGTGTTCCGGAGTGTGACGGAATTCATTACTGATCATGGAAAGTAACCGTTGCTAGTATACTAGTATGATCAAACTCCCCGCAGCGGCTATTTCCCCTGATCAGTGCAGTAGCAAAGCGTGAGGAGTTTTGTAAAAGATACACTACAAAGTTTTCACTTTGATTACTTTCCCTGATCAGAAAATGGAGGCATGGCCCAAATTTATACGAGATTGAAATATAACTCGGCTGTAATAGATACTTATGTTAATATGTACTCTAAAAGGGGTAGGTGTAGTAAATTGCATCCTTACTATAGCGAAAAAAACAAAGCACACATTATTCTGCAATACAAAGTAGTTTTCACTACATAACAACATATCGAAGTTCATTCAGTCAGAACTCCGGCCTTAGCTATAATTCATAATAACTGCGGACTTAAAATACGGATTGAAAGTTGTTTAAGCACATGCGTTTAGATGTTAACAGTGTATTTATTTGACATCAAAAGAAAAATACGGTCTGTTTTGGTAAAATTATGATCGAAATATGTCTGACAATCATAATCAATATCAAAATGACTTCTGTCTGATGTACACTGTAAACAAATCCGGATAATAAGTACATGTATGTTAAAGAAATAGCATAGCCCCCAAGTAAAAATCAGATTGCCGATTGTTTTGATCACGGGGGTGGAACCCCATATGAATCTCAAAAATGAGCATCGGTAAAAATGATATGTGAATTTCCGCTGCACCAGATGTGAAGCATAACATCAGATGCGACTGTAAAAATAGGCCGATCGCAGGGTAAGTGTTCATCTTTTCAAACATTTATATAAAATTCAATCCTTTTTTTAAGAAAATCGAAATGTGATTCTACCCTCCTGACTCTCCTGTTGTTTTGGATTTCTATGCAGTCTTCATCGAGATATTCTTTCCGTCGTGGGTTCTAGTGTGTCCAAAACATGCAATATGAATGAAGAAAATGTCACTAAACGGACTAAAAAAACATAGATTTTACGAAATCTCACTACAGGTCGATGCTAAACATTCAAACAAATCCTGTTTTATATATTTATTGAGAATTGGCTACATACAAGGGAATCGATGCTCAAAATTGCATTTGAGCTCCAGATGTGCTGAAGAGATTCATATGTGCATAGAATGAAAAATTTGCAACAATCTAGAATTTCTTCTATTGTGTATCATTCTGTAATAAATACTATTATCCAAAATAGACACATTTTCACGAGACGAAATTGAATAACATATAGTATCCATATAGAAAGAGATATAAGACATTCTGCATACGAAAGGTTTTTTTAAAATACGTAGATATGGTTGGAAGGCCTTGCTTTTTTTGACTTATTGACGTTGTGTGTACTGCAATATTTCCCTTTTTATGCCACCATGCAATAATTAATTAATTAATTAATTAATTAATTATTCACTCGACTGCACTGTCTGCTTAATAGGAGAGTAATGTGAAGCGTGTTTGAATTTGTTATGATGCTGTATGAAAGTTAGTGACAATCTTTTCAAATAAGATCAAAGAAGATTTGCATATTTATTTTCCACATTAAGAAACGTCCCTTCAGAATATTTACATGGTTCACTTAATGCCCACAGTCGCAATTATGGGTAAATGCCTATCTGAATTTTATGCCTGCTTTGTAATTCTTTGAATGGTTTTAAAGAAACGTTAACATATCTTAACCGTATTGAGCGGACATGCGTAGCTCATAATGCACATAGTTTCCTGAAATGTTCATGTACGCAAAAAGATCACTAAACTTATTTATAACTGTCATTTCAGTGGGAACTGTAAATTATAAACACTTTCGTAATTCGTTTCTTTTGTTATTTTTCAGGAAAATGGGTCGTTTTCTAGGCACAAAAAAGAAAGGTTTAAAACTTTCAAGAATAAAAAGTCACGTGTATCGTGAAAAGAGGAAGTCATCAGCGCTTACATATCCTTTTTTCGCCATTTAAATTGTCCCCATGTGTCAAAAGATTCCGCGTATCGCAGACTCCAAAGTCCAAGAATTCTCCAGAAAGTGCAAGTATTACTTTTTCCAATTCAATGAAAAAACGTTTAATATTCAATTCACAACTATTAAGTCCCATGAAATGTTCTCCACATAAAGGATTTGCAAAGATTAATTAAGTCAGTTGCAATGAACAGATACATAAAAAGTAACCGAGGTTTCGGTTGGGAAATTTAGTTTATGGAGAGAAGCCAATCAAAAATTGAAATTTTAGGTTTATTAAAATTCTCATTTCTGTTTATCATGCGATAAAACAGTTACAATATATCGAACTATTATGTAGAAATATCACGACCTGTGGCGGCATCTCGGGTTTTCCTTACAGACAATATTCTCGGGCCATATCCTGTAAAGAAAAACCTTCGATGTCGCATCAGGCCATGATAATTACACATAACAGTCTGTCGCTATAACTATAACTTGTGGAATATTAAAGTTATAGATATTTTTATGAATGTAAACATTATTAAAATAACATATTATATCACACGATAGGTACTCATAAGAGTACTATCCGCTCTGCGTCAACATTTTCATGTACTCGAGCCTTTTAGTATTTCTAATGCTAGTATAAGCTAGTAAGCTCTGTCACTGTGGTAATCAAACACACTAATGTTACAGCCAAAAGATGCAAAACCTATATTGTTTCTATACATTGGCTATTCAATGATTATATGGAAGGGGTCCGTAGTTTTGTAGATGGTTTTCTACATCACTTATGAATCTCTTCAGCACATCTGGAGCTCAAATGCTATTTTGAGCAGCGATTCCCTTGTATGTAGCCAAATCTCAATAAATATTTAAACCAGGATTTGTTTGAATGTTTAGCATCGACCTGTAGTAAGATTTCGTAAAATCTATGTTTTTTGAGTCTGTTTAGTGAAATTTTCTTCATTCATATTGCATGTTTTGGACACACCAGAACCCACGACGGAAAGAATATCTCGATGAAGACTGCATAGAAATCCAAAACAACAAGGGGTAATATAGAGGAGAGTCAGGAGGGTAGAATCACATTTCGATTTTCTTTAAAAAAAGATTGAATTTTAATTTAACGTTTAAAAAGATGAAAACTTACCCTGCGATCGGCCTATTTTTCCAGTCACATCTGATGTTATCCTTCACATCTGGTGCAGCAGAAATTCACATATCATTTTCACCGATGCTCATTTTTGAGATTCATATGGGGTTCCACCCCCGTGTTTGATATTCTTTCTTTTTCTGTGATAAGCAAAAATAAAAAGCATATGTTCCCTGTCGTCACACTATTCAACCCATGAAAAAAGTAGCCAATGCACGAGCATCTGCATATGACTTCTCTATCGTTATCTCTTTATCAGTAAACCGCAGAAAAAAAATGCATGCTCTTTACACTAGCCTGGGATTCAGGCGTTAATATTTTTGCTTATTCGTAACATACGCGCTATTTCATACTCGGTCGTCATAGATAACAAACATCTCGGGTTTTGATAGTACAGAGAAAGAAATCGACAGACTGGAACCCAGGCTATCTTTACACCAGTGAGTGCGGGTAACTAATACAATCATGTACCTGCACAACGCACTGTGCATGAATTGGTATAAGATTCAACTCTGACGCGCTTTCAATAATAAAGTCTCCAAACTATGATATAAATAAATATTGTATCATAGTTTTTAGATCTTTCTATAGATAGTGTGCCAGAATTAAATGGAATATACACTCATACAAGTACAATTCATTAACTGCTGTCTGCCGGGGACAATCATGCTCGTTCATTACCTCATTTCTTCTTAGCTTTACTTAATGCGACGACAGGGAAAGGGATAATGATAGAAAAAAACATATTCAGATGCTCCCACATTGGTTATTTTTGTCTGGGGTTTCAAATTGCTGCGACAGGGAATTTGCCTAGGATACAATGCTGGTATATATACTGCTTAATTTTAATGTATGTTTTTAAGTTTACTTAATTTTGGCGGACTTTTACTCAATATTTTGGAATAAACTTATACATGTATTTTGAAATCAACATCTCCCAGCATTAAAATAATGTGTGACTTAAGTTCAGATTTACTAAGTAATTTCTTGCATGCATATCTAATTGCCACCTAATTGGTTTCGCCTTTCATCTAAGACCTCTGCATGCATTTATCCTTGGTTAGATAACCCTGATTTTTAACACAACAACATGCCTCAGAATGTTTAACTTTTGTGGCAAGTTATATATAACAATCCGTCAATGCATGTAAATGTTTCATAGCAGACAAATGTTTTCCTCTGGACCTTTAAGTATGACCTTGGGATTCAGGTAAAACCAGGTTCATGTATGAAACACTCCCATAATGTCATCATTTAGACATCCCTGTTGACCTTCACCTCGCATGCATTGACCTGAAATATGCTGGCAATACATATACATTATTTGTGGTAGCAGCACACTCAATTCAAGAGTATATAAACGTCCATCATAATTTTTCAGTATTTAACCTCACCTCCTAATGAGTTACCTTGACCGAGGCCACAGAACCCTGAATTGTTTGTACATCACTCTGGCTCAAAGTAATATTACAATCCCTCTGTGTATGTAGGTTTACACAAGACACAGGATACTTTTCTCTAACCTCTACGTGTAAACTTAACCCTTGCTTAATGTGCTGTACAGTGCTGCATATTTGTAACAAGGTATACTAAAATCAATATGTGCATAAAAAAGATATGATCCAGACAACTCTGGGTCTTGCATAATCTCTGGTGACCTTGAACTTCACCTTTTCTGACCTAAATAAAGCTGATAACGTTGAGTCTTATGACTCTGAATCCATAAAAACTACTGAATTGTCCAAACATACATTTTATAATTTTGATCTGAACTATGACCTCTTTGAAAGTCTATGCAAAGTAAATATTAATTATAATCCCTCAATACATGTAGAAATTTTGTTGCGACAAGCATTTTCATTGGATCTCTAATAATGGCTGCCCTAGAATAAATTTAATCCCTCAATGCATGTAGAAATTTGCTGTGGACAACCATTTTCATTGGATCTCTATTAATGACTGCCCTAGAATCCTGCTCTATGGATACAACACTATGTCTCATTATGGTGAACATGTGAATCAAGTTATGTGGAAAAATTATGAACTACAACTAGAAGGCACCAGCCTGACCACCTACATACAAGTGGGCAATCAAATACTACAAATATAGTCAATCTGTTCTTCAAAATGCCTCATCACATTTTTGGCATGAATGAAAACGATACAAATTGAACTTTTGATAAACCACTCATAAATTCGTAAATTTACCATAATTTAGTTACACTACACTTGCAGCTGGCTAAAAGAGGCTATGAATTAGTGACAAAAAAAACAAGGAAAGAAAAAATTTGACTGAAAACAAATCATATTTTAAATTCTTTATTCACAATTTATTATACAATTAAATGCAATTTTCATGCTAGTTTCATATTTTCTTCCCACGTTTCTTGTTATATTTCTTATACAGAAACTTAACCCTCTTCCAGTGATTGTGATAATGGGAGGGGTACAGTTGTCTAATTACGTGACCTTCCGCATTCAATCTGCGGACAACTCTCTGCATTTCATTACCATTAAACCCTGAAAAATATGAAATAACTGACATGAATATTACACTGAGTATACCCGTATAATACTGTATGAAAAGAAATATGGCCAATTCAGAGAATAAGTCTATTTAAAGTCTATTTTTAGCTCTTGTGGCCTACTTATGCAGGACCACCTTTAGGATCATTCCTGTAAAATTTAGTCAAAAATCATCAAGTGGTTTATGAGGAGATGTTTTATAAACAGGTTGTGGGCAAGAACAGATGATGGATAAGAAACTACAGTTTCAATTTGCCAGCACAAAAGTTTACCTCTGAGCACATTGAGCTTGTGCTTAAGTGAGCTAAAATATAATGACAGATCCTTTCACAGGTTTAAGTTTTATGTTTACAGATCAGCATAAATCTATATTTTTATTATTAATTACCTCTAAGCCATGCAGGTGCTTTGATCAAGTCAACAGGACGCAAGTTTGAATCTCCAAGAATGTCTGGAAAACAAAAGAAGAAAAGTAAAGCTATTGAGTTCTCTACACCTTACAATCATTTATCATCTTATGTCGTTGTCAGGCAGTAAAATATTACCTTTGATTTTACAACAATAACATCACACAAATTGTTTTATTACAGATATAATGTGGTTTTAAATTTATCACATCACAATATTTATAATACACTTTGTCAGTTATATTTTTACAACCCTTTAGACATAATAAACTGGGCCTCCAGGCAGAGAGGTAATGGTCACTGACTTATTCACTTGTCCCCTCAATGCTGTGGGTTCAAATCCTGCCAGGGATTAGATTTCCTTCATGCTAAAAGCTTTGCTACCCAGCTAGCATATAAATGTTGGTGGTTCTTTTCAAAAACCCATTTGTGCCTGAAATAATACAAAGAGAGCCCCAGAGGTCTTTGTCCACAAGTAAAGCTAGCAGTCACCATCTGACCTTTACGGCATGGGTATGACTTTAAAGAGTGAAAGCCGCTATATCTAATGAAATATTTTTTTTTAAATTTATTAAATTTATTAACTAAATTACAATATCATTTTCTTATATCATATGGTGGTACTGTATTAACATTTTCATTCCTAATATTCCTGAATAGAGTATTGAATCTAAAAGAGTTGTAATTTACAGTATGGGTTTGACTTTAAAGAGTGAAAATCTTTATCTAATAAAATATTTCTGTAAAATTTATTAACTAAAATACTGTATCATTTTCTTAATCATATCATGGTACTGAATAAACATTTTTCATTCCTAATATTCATGCATAGAGTATTAAATCAAAAGAATTGAAATTTACAGTATATAAATCTATATCTAATGAAACATTTTTAAAAAAAACCTATATACTGTAATATTTTATAATTTCCTTAATCATATGACCGAGTCCACAAGGGTTGTAACTTAGCACGCCTTTGTCATGGAACACACATGAATATTAACAGAATAAACTGTCTGATCATAAATCATTATCACACTATTTCAAGTAAAATTTTATTTGTTTAACAAAGATTTAATGCATACACCACTCTCTTGGAAGTATACAAACAAACTTATTTCATACTGTTTTTTTTTTTTGGAATAATTCAGTTTTAAAATTTTAATCGATAATTTTGAGAAATACTTTTTTGTTTCTTTGATTGAGTTTTACGTCACAGTATATTGGTCATATGACAATGTTCCAGCTTTACTGGTGGAGGAAGACCTCAGGTGCCCTTCCATGCATTTTTTCAGGCACGAACTAGCACCTGAGTAGAACCACCGACTTTCCGTAAGCTAGCTGGACCTTAATCACTCGGCCAGACGCCCCTTGTGAAATACTGACTGCAGAAATATAGTTTTATACACTTCAGATAACTAGAAAAATAAATATTCAAAATATCAATATATTGTTTATCAGACAGGCTACAGTAAAATAAAAATGACATAAAAATGATAGCGCTTCTGAGGCATAATGGGCCTTTAACAAGTGCTTGCAATTGTACAGTAGCAGGTTTACCCTCCTTAGAAAAACCATATTACCCTGCAGGGAAGTTTTTGAGATAAATTTCTGACATTTTACACTTTCATGCTTAAGTAAATATAATGTTTTCCTAAAATTGCATTGATAAATAAAAATCAGTTTTTCTTCATATCATTAATGATAATTGCTTCATGAAAAAAATGTCAATGATTTCTCATTCTGACAACCACTATAAAGATAATACTTACCAATGTAATCATTCTGCCCAAAAGTTGCCCTTTTCCTGTTCCAAACATTTTTATGCTTGTATTTAGGGAGGTTCTCAAACTTCTCCTTTAAACCTCGTGGCAGGTAACCTGAAAAGACAAATAGTATTATGCTGAGGAATGTGTTTGTTTGATTGGATTTTACGTCACACCAACACAGTATAGGTCATATGGCACGTTCCAGCTTTACTGGTGGAGGAAGACCTTGAGGTATGTGAAAAACAACAAGAGTACAGCTTGTGGTGTTACGATATTTCTGTTATAGGCAACAACTGTAAATCTTTAAACTTGGAAGTGTTATGGATGTTTTGAGCTTCACTTTTCAATAAGATACAGAGTAAGATAGGAATAAAGATCAACATGTCGAACACAATGTAGAAATTGAACCAAATTTGACTTTCTATGGCTTATCTCAATAAGAGGAATAACCTTGTTTCTGTGAAATTGAATGATCAATGTATTTGTATCTTACTTTACTGATCACTGAGCATGTAAAACTTGAACCAAAGTAACATGCTGATGCATGTATAACTTGAACCAAAGTAACATGCTGATGCATGTATAACTTGAACCAAAGTAACATGCTGATGCATGTATAAAGACAATAGACCCACTTTTCTTTAACAAAAAAACATGCTAAAAATGCTATGATGTTCAAAATATTCCTAATTAGTGGATAGGTGTCTGTAGTTTACCCTCCAGCAAATTTGAATTCACCATAGAAAAAGTTACTGGTCTTGTACAATAACTACAATATTATATACATTGTATTTAATATTCCCTAGTCAGCGCAGCTGTGAAGCAATATAAACAATATACATGTATGTATTATCATCTAAAGATAGTGTGAGCAGCCATTTTTGACACTATTCACAGTTACTCAACATGTATGATTGTATCAATTGACTGGCATGATACATGTATATACATGTAATTTTCAAATCCTTTAATTGTATTATACTGCGCTAAATGTATCCTATTTGTCCTCTATTTTTTCACAATTAATTATCAATTTATCATCTCATTACATATCCACTTTAATTGACATACCTCCATCAAATAGTGTTTGATTGTATCCATGACGACTAGGGCCTGGTGTCTTATATGGTGAAGCAACTGGGAACTTGTTTGGTGGAAACTCAGTCTTACATCTCACACTGAGAACTGAGGCATAATTGGTATTCAGCAATCCAGTAGAATCAACCTAGAAAAATAAATTGATTTTCTTTTCCAAAATTGTCAGTAGACTTAACACATGGCTCAATCTGCCATCGATTTGACAGTTAAGCCATTTGCTAACACTTTATTCATTTGGCTAAAGAAAATTTCTTAATTTGGCTACAGAATTTCTTCTCCATGCTTTTCGTTTTAATGTTATCAAAGTTCTTAAGAAATCCCAAAATCACACATATTTTCAAACAGGGTAAAAACCCTGTTAACCATATATTTCAAATGTGGGTTATTGCATTGTTAAATGCATAAATTACAGACTTGTTTAAATACAACACTAATATTTGATAGCAATTAACTTTAATTAATATTTTAGCATAATTTAAGATTATAAATAACAACATGATTTTTGTTCCGATTTTTAGTCACAAGACCTCAGGAGCAACTAAGTGCATTATTTAAGGCAAGAGCGGATACCTGCATAGAACTACATATATTGTGTAAATTTGCTGGGATACCTTCCTTGCATGAAAAAAAGACACTGGAGAGATTTGAACCAATACTATGGGACAACAGTGAGCTACAAGTAACTTGAAGTCGGTGATCTTAAGAAATTGTCCAAGGAGAATGACGTTATAGCTTTTCCTTCATGCAGAAGACTTTAAAGATATCGCTTTATGCATTACTAAGTGTACAAGTGGATACCTACATTTGTTAGTGGAACTATATTCCTGAATACCAGCTACCTTAACATCTTCCTCACAAAAAGATTCCAAAGTCCTAGATAAGACTCGAACCTGCAGTGGACTAGTGATTCAAAATCAGTCGCCTCAACCAGTTGACAATAAAGACCACCTGAATGGGATGTGATCAGTGAAGTACTAATGCTAAAATATGAAACTGACAAAGAAGTCAGCATTGGGCTTACCTGTTTATTTGATAGACTTGATATTGTGATTCTGCCAGCGATCTGTCTACAATAAGATACCCCTCGAAGTAGCCATGTCATTGTCACTTTCCACCCTTTCAAATCATAAAGAAGCTATTCTGATCCTGAAATGCAAATAAAGTCATTTTACAATTGTCTATAAGTACAATGCAGGGCCTTTTTGTCCTTTTATAGAAAGGCCGGTATAGGGCTGCTTCCCAAAAAAAACTTCTTTAAAATCATGCAGTTTTCCCAAAAAATTGAATTTACATCAACTTTTTGCTCCCCCTTTTGCAAATATACTGTGTAGTTTTTCCCCAAAATTAAGGGCTGGGCTGCTTCCCCAACCTGTGAAAAAAGCCCGGCAATGAAACAACAATTTACATTCAATCTTACTTAATATAATAAATGCAACTTTCCTGTTTTTGGTTGGGACTTACACCTCACTAACACAGTAGAGGTCATATGGTCCTTGAGAAGGAAGACCTCAGATACCTCTCCGTGCATTATTTCAGGCAATATTGGGCACCTGAGAAGAACCACTGCATTACAATTAATCCAACTAACCACAAACAAAAGTGGACATTCAAGTTACTATGAAATACAGGACGACTAATGGTTCAATCAGAAAGAAAAATTACCATGCCTATCTTTACTTTTGTATTACTTTGAACAGACTTTTGCATTCAACTTGATATTTTTTCTTATTTTTCTCTCTCTTTATTGTCTTTTAAATTGAAAAATTTGCACAATTTTAGAATAAGTCATCTTTTTAAGCAATATAATGTCTTTTTTTCAAAGCATTAATTTAAATTAATATCCTTTATACTTTTTTTTTAATGTCTTTAGGTCATAATGTCCATGTGGCACTTAACTCTTTATCTTTTAAGCAAAATTGCTATTTGTCTCAAACTAAAGTTCTCCAACAGAAATAATTACATTGTATAGGGGATTTTGCAAAAGCATTTGATTAAATACCCCTTAAAACATTTAAAACATAAATTAAATTACTATGATATAACAAGTTATGCTTAATAATTAGATTTCAAATTCCCTTCAGGATAGATTCCAGACTGTTTTGTCATTTAGATAAGATTCAAGTAAAATGTAAAACAAGAGCTGTCAGAGGAGACAACATGCTCAACTTATAATTTTTGACAAGAGTTACGACTCTTTTTGAACTTAGAAAAATTCTACATTATCAAGGCTCTTTTTTTTTTTACTATAAAGCACTGACAATAGTCTAGCATACTGACAGCTCTTGTTTTTTTCTTAGTTTTGTCTTTCTTTACTGTGTCCAGTATTTAATATGTTAGACCGCGAAGCAGTCCCATTTTAACATGCACATTTACAAATGTAGCTACAATGGCTCAAATTTTAACAGTTGCACACATACATGTATGATTAAATTCTGGTTTATTAATATCCAAAGGAATCAGTTAGTGTCCCGTCAGAAAGACGTTCACCCAGAGACATAGATAACATCTTTGGTTCACCTTTATCATAGAGATACAAAAACCATGAGATCAAGCCTATGTTCAGATTTAATAAGCACCCAAAGAATTAAAGTTCAGACATGATTCATTGCCTTATAAAATTTGTAGAATGTTTCCTGACATTACAGAAATGAATGTCAATGGAAATCTGTTCACATCTAACTACAACAGGACACTATTAGCTGTCAATATTTACTTTCATTAAAACATTTCAACACTCACAGCTTGGTGTGAAAGGTGTCAAAATATTCATATTCCTATAACTCTAACTTTTTAACAGTCATTTAGATCAATATGTACTTATTTTCCAAAGGCCCATACTTTGGTCAAAATGGCCCATCATTTTCAGACCAAGTGGGCTCAGGGCCCAGTACTTTCAATTTCTCGGCAGATCTCTGCAATATGATTGAATGATAATTGACTGTACATTTATCACAAACTGTTAAACCAAAAGGTAAACATTAAAATAGTACAAACTGTTAAATAAAAATTAAAGGGAAACCAGAGATTTTTGGGATTTTTACATAGCCAATATTCGGTCATATTCCCAACTGAAAATAGTACAGTATTTCCAAAATCCACAGGAAAAAATTCCCAATTGAAAGTTACAAAATAAAAATACTGAATAACAAATTCTAAAACCTTTGAAAATAAGGACTTCTTCACTGTTATGGAGCTTAAATGTTTGAAGATACCATCCTAGCAAGACATTTAATCACTGCAAAATTTCAGCCAAGCATTTTTTCCAATTTTTAACTAAACAACACTGAAATTCCCAGTTCCATGGGTATGGGTTATGTTCCCAAAATCCTGGAAAAAAACCTGGAAACATTCATTACTCTTAATTAACATTAACTTTTCTAAGTGCAGACAATGTCAGTTATTTTATTGTCAATCAAAGGTCTATACAAATGAGCGATAAAATAAGTGTGGGGTTATGTCCACTCTATACACTTTGACATCCCTTTGCGGCGTGCATGTCACTTGTAGTGCATACTCTGCATAGGTCACACCTGACAGGTGACCTAGTTAGGTCACTTTGCTGGTGTGACCTAACTAACGGCCAAGTGTTTGGTCTACAAAGATGCTGCTGCCTTTCGGAAAAGGTGCATTTTAACTTTTGTCTTCCTTGGTTCTACGATGTGAAGATTTTGGTTCTGGGGAGATCTCTACGACGGCAGACAGCTTGAGAAGACATTTGTCACAGCTTTACAATCTGAGATATATATAAAGAGGCCATTAAACTAAGTTCTTCATTGCGGCTCTATGTCCTGCACTGTAATACTGGCCGATAGTCTGGGACATATGGCATAGCCGGCGCCCAGTATAAATAAACTTTAAAAACATACAATGTACAGTCCACTCTATAAAATTAAAGGTGTGGTGTTTTGTCCTCTCTATAAAATTTTGAGGTGTGGGGTCCTGACAAGTGGTGTTTTGTCCGTGTTTTCCTATAAAACATGCTTGCATACACCATGATAACACAATATTATCATAACAATAACATGATAAATCCAGCCTATAACACTCGCAAGAGGGGTTGGCAGTACTCAGAGATAGATACAATCACGGATTTATATTACAGGGATCGGACACTCCCAGTTAACCCTATATAAATGCTTAAATATCTTGTCGTGCACCCGATAAAGGTACATCGATCGATAATTTATCGGCGCTAAGCGAAAATGCCCGTTCGCAACGGATACCTACTTTACAAAATACCATATAGCTTTTCCATTTATTATCCGATTTTTGAAATTTAAAGTTTATTTTCAAGAAAAATGCTTGTTTAATTCAAATATCTAATTTATTTTTTAAAGATACAAACTATCTGTCTGCAACGACGATTAAGAAATTAACTTGACGAAATCCGCTGTAAATTTACATTTTTTATATAAAAAGCAGATATTTGAAATTTATTATTACGGTACCATAATAAATTCAATTTCAAAATAAAAAAGAAGCCGATGGAAGTTATTCACAGTTGATCAAAGATGCAATATTTAAGATTTATTTGGTTATGTAGTCAAATTAATTGACGCACAATTGTTTTACGGGTAATATATTGCGGGCTTTACAATTCGCTCAACACGTAAAGTAAATTTATTCATTTTTTTAAATACAAGATATTGCTGATATTGTCAATATATGTATTGTCATTTTCATAGGATATTAAATTTTCTTCATCATTTATATCATTATTATTTTTTTTTGTAAACCTGTAAAATGTCGGTGCAGTGAAGTAGACAATCATCGTAACAGTAAAGTACTCTCGTGTGGCTGTCTCGATTCCAGCCTTTTTAATGTCAATTGTATATTTTAATTATTTCACTCGTATATTTCAATTATTCTTTTTATTTGAATGCCTGTAGAAAGATATTTCTGATATTTTTAATGTAACGCTAAAAAGACAATAAAAATCTTTACAGTTTGAGTCAGTATTATGCGAAATAAAAGTAACTGTTAACTAATTTTTACACATCGCTTAAATTTCTTTGAAGTTTAATTACTTTTGAAGGGGGTTAATTACCAGGTAACAAGTGATAATTGAAAAACTTTGTTTTCAAACTTTCATTATCAGGTCACATGTGATAATTTCAACACTCAATCTTTGAAAACAAATAGAAATTGAATGTATATGTTGTATGTGCGCGGTCTTTAACTGTTACAGTCCATGGCATGTGTGGTAAGACAATGATTCTGAAGAGGATATATATAAATACAATGTAAATCTATTTTCTTTTTTAACGTTTATAAATGAAATTGAAAATATACAACTTAATTTGTATAGTCCTTTCTTTGAAAAATAATGAAAATAAACATATGACAAATAAATCATTTGACGTGAATTGTGAAGGATAACTATGAAAAAAATCTGTTTAAAAAAATATATATATAAAACAGCTGTTCTGTATGCCAATAAAAGTTTCTTCCTTGCCAATCTAATGAATTCATCTATATATGAACGAATGTCTAGAATGATCTGAAAATATATTTAATACACTAATTAGTAGAATATTTACTATATTTATACTAATATACAGGTACATCAAATAAAACATGTACAAATCATTTGGAAATAATTCACAGAAATAAAGACACATTTCAAACATGAATTCTTTAAAAGTATTTTAGCAATCAAGAAACATTTTTTCGCAATGCCACTATTAAACCATGTAAAAAATAATTATCTTAATCCTGAATCGCGGTAATAATCTATGCTTGACGTAAAAGGGCGTCAAAGTGTAGACAGTATGCCTAAACAATCGGCGAATATTTTTTAAATTAGGTACTTATTAACTAAGCGTCGCAGCGTTCTATCGACATATTTTCATATTATTAATACATTAGCTGCCACAAAATAATACTTGTATCAATACATTCATATGTGTATAATTTTTCACAGAGCTGCAATAAACAACCACATACTCTTGTGAAAATGTGTCATATTTCACACTCCGAGCGTTCCGCCATCTCATTCTGTCCACCTTTATCCGATTCCGCGCATGCGCGCGACGGGACTTTAAGCTAAACGAAAGTGTCCGATCCTTGTAATATAAATCCCTGATACAATGTAGATGTAAAAGCTATTCAGTATTGAATTCAAGTTCGTTTCGTTCAAAGCCTTC